GAAATATACATGAAAATTTATTGACATTTCGAGATGATATCTTCCATGCAAATTATTCTAAAACTGATCTGCTGTTGTTCTCAATAGACTGGGAAAAGGCATATGATAGTGTAGATAGGGAATTTTTGTTTAAAGTTTTAAAAAAATTTAATATTGGGCCAACATGGATATCTTTTATAAAACTAATTTATACAAATACAAAGTCAAGGATTATAACCAATGGATATATTGGCAAGGAATTTATAGTAGAAAGAGGTTTAAGACAAGGCTGTCCACTGTCTCCAATACTTTATACATTCATTGCTGAAGTATTTGCATGTAATATCAGAAGTAATACAGAGATAAGAGGTTTCATAAATATAGCAAATGAGGAACAAAAATATAAGGGGTTCGCAGATGATGCACTGTTGACTTTAAGGGATTACTATTCTTTATGTGTATCCATGAATGTTATTGTACAATTTGAAAATGCATCAGGGACCTATATAAATAGGAATAAATCACAAATTTTGGTATGTGGCAGTTTGATAAACTTGCCAATTATTCAAGTGGATGGCATAAAAGTTTCAAGGGACAATATATTACTATTAGGTTGTTGGTTTGGTAATGATAAAACTAAATTTGAGAAAAATTGGAATCCAGTCATTAGAAGAATTCAGAATGTTATAAATTTATGGAGGGGTAGAAACCTGACAATGATTGGAAGAACTATTATTGCTAAACAATTATTATTGTCAAAAGTTTGGTATTTAGCATCATTTGAAATAGTTCCATACAATGTTATATTAACTTTGAAAAAATTAATTTGGACTTTTATTTGGGAACAAAAACAAGAAAATATAAGCAGAAGTGTATGCTGTGCCAGTAAAATGCAGGGGGGCTTAGGATGCATGGATATAGAAATACAAATAAAAAGCATTCAACTTAAATGGTTGTGGAAATTGATTGATGGTAATAAAGCACCATGGAGTAACAGAGCTAGAAATTACATAAATAACTATCACAATAAACTTCAAACAACTAATTTGGAAATTATCCATCTTAGTTTGAGAAACAATTTTAAGAAATCGATACCTCAATTCTATACAAATATTGTCAATTATTTTAAAGCATTAAATTTAAAAAGAAACCCTTTGCAATTAAGATCTGAAATTTATCAAGAATATATTTGGTTTAATCCATTGATTAAGTTGCAAAATCATCCAGATAATCTGAGTAATTGGATTAAATCAAATATAACAAAAATAGAACATGTTATTAAATTAACATGTAGGCAAATTTTAGAAAAAATATATGGAGAAGATAGGATAAGAATGATGGATATAAATGATGTAAAAGACAAAATGAAGAAAGTTATTTTATCTGTTCAAGAAATTTTGAAATCTATTCCCCAGGAATGGAAAAATATATTAAGAGATAAAACAAGCAATCATATCCCCATGTCAAAGGAATTTAAATATGATTTTTCAGAAAATCCCACAACAAAAATATTGTATAGGAAAATATTAAAAAAGTTTAACAGTGACCAATGGAAACAGAAACGTTGTAAAATTATTTATAAATTTAATTTACGAACAGATTTTACTTGGAATAAAGTTTGGGCAAATTATATTCCCAGAAAATACCAGGTACTAAGTTGGAAGATTTTACAAAATGGGATTCCAACTGGAGAACGAATTAGACATTGGGCAGAAGATACAAATGGCAATTGCGTCTTTTGTAATAGAGTCATTGAAAATTGTATTCATTTATTTTTCAACTGTTCTTATATAAAATCCTTTTGGAAATGGCTAAATTTAACAAGTTATACACAGCATAATATTTTTACTCAAGATGTTGAAACTAAATCACTGAATCTAATTATCGCTTGTGGTAAAGCAGCGATTTGGAATTTTAGAAATGGCTTAATATTTCAGGAATTGGAAACATATCAGTCCATACTTAGAACTATGTTTAAATGTGTGATGATAGGATCTTTAAGAAGTATGAATGAATTTGTAAAAGAGGAAATATTAGAAGATGAAAAGATTGAAATTCTTTTAGGAAAATCAGTAATGCTTTGAATATGGTAGTTATAGTTTTCATACTTATTATCTGAAATTTATATACATTGAAATAATTCAGTTAAAAAAAAATAAATAAAAATGTGAATGTTGTGTTGTAATGAAAATTATGATATATCAGATAACATTGTGGGTGTATAATGTATTATTTCATGTTAAACTTGTTTTAATATTAATTCCTAACACCTGCAACTATCGTTTCTGCAATCACAGACTCTATAATAAAATGTTATTTCCAAGAAAAAAAAAAAAAAAGTTTGCATAGACCGAGAATCTGGAAAACGCCTAATAGCATGATGGGCGTTTTTATGATTATTTGTCTAATTCTTTAAATATTTTTGTTTTCCATATTAAATGATAATATCGGTTAAATTTATAATATATATGGTATAACTACTGAAAATGAAAAAAAAATGTATGCACAATGGTCACTGGATTACATGGATTGACATTTCATGAATGTGGACACAATTCAAATTGGATATTTGAACTAATATGGGTAAATGTATCTGGTTAAATTGATATTTGTGATTATTTATCTATCATGTATTGTATACTTAACACCTAAATTATTTGGAAATTGGGATTCATGCAATTAAATTGACATAATAATATATTTGGATAAACCAAAACCATCATTTTCATAAATCCGATTTGGCTATGGATTTAAATTTGGCAAAAAAAAAAAAAAAAAAAAAAAAATTCAGTCACTTTGGATCAAATCATATGCTTAGTCTACATCAAGCGCGAGCTTCTTCCCGCTGGGTAAATTTTGTAAGACGAGAATTTTTAGAACGGTACCGGTAATGTTTATCCCGCGCCCAATGTGCGTACGGTATTCTCCATTACAAGGTGCCCCTTTTTAAACCGGTTCTTTTTGTCCGTTTTAGCAACTGCATTTTTAGGATGATACACGCTTTTTTGAGTTTGGTCTATTTTGTATACAGGTACCGGTACCGTATCGTAAATGTAGGCCTATATGGTGAGTGAAGCAGGTCTAGCCCACCTCTTCATGCATCCAACTTGGCAATTCTGATTTGGCATTAGGTGACCCCAACTATAATCAGCTTGACAATATCCCTTGAGAAATATTTTTCCATCCACAGTATATAACTCTTGTTGACTAATTCTGTATCCGATTCGGCCATCCTCATACAATTGTTAATTTGGTGTGGCAAAATAATTTAGCCTATTTATTTATTTATTTTGTATATTTTTCTTTTTACTAAGTAACTTAATTGATTTTGTTTTCTCGCTTCTTTCACGCCCGACCCTATCAATATCATGTCTCAGTCTCAATGATTGTGTGTATGTGTGTGCGTGCGTGCTTTAATTTTATCAATACCTTCCCACCTAAAATCTGTATGCTTTAAACCGTAGGCTACTTGAGGTTTCGTTTGCTCTCCCGATTCTATAACCAGTTTTATTTAAAGTGGGAGTGGTGACTCCTCTATGGGCCGGGGCCGTGGCCTATCGAATTGGACCTCGATCCATCAGGCTATGGGTCGTGGCCCATCAAGTTGTGTAAAGGGACTATTCACTTGGCTAACACAGACAGTCCCCGAACTCATAATAGAACTATAATGTGGAAAATCTGAACAAAATATTGTCCTAACCCTAACCTGGTACACATACTACAGAAGTATCCTTTTCTGTTGCTTGGTATTTTGCTTTATTTTTCTATAAAAGCTTATCGTAAGAAAAAAACTTGGTGGCATACCGCGATTTTTTTCGGTTCGAATATTGACAATTTTGTGAAAATTGAAAATTTTGGTAAGATAATTGAATTCTTCCTGATGAGGCCGTGGCCAGTTAAGCTATGGGCCGTAGATGTGGCCAAATTAGATGGGTCGTGGCCCCGTCCCATGAGTCGAAATAAACTTATCCTTATTATGATTCTGAGTGACTCAAGAGTCTCAGGATAAAATTAATGAATTCACAGAAAAAAATACCCTAACATAATACTTACTAAATTATACGGTAATTACTGTATCCAAATTCTTAAAAAACTTATTCCCATAATATTGATTATAGTAAATACAATAATTTTTGTTGGTTATGGGTTTGTTAGCATTCGAGGACAACTTTGATTAGACTACCGGATTGGAGGTAGTAATAACTGAATATTATTGTTGCAATAATGAACAAATTTGATAAGTTTCTTTTTCCTAGTTGCAAGTAAAATTCAACAATTCAACCGTAAATAAAAATGGTTTGAATCCCATGCAGGGATGGTTATGTGCGAGAGGATTGCTGGACTCCTCGCCGCTGTAGGGTGGTTCACGTAACCACTGGTCGGTTACGGCTTCCTCCCTTATCAAGTCCATGCTTCTGTGCTTCTTCTGAAAACAAATAACGAACTAATCCCATCCCATACCGGGCATGGAATGGTAACCGGACAAGAAGCCTTGGTTCGCCATGTGGTTAAGCCACCTTATCGGCTTTCCTCTCCCCCGGGATGATTATGTATATCATTTTTTTATCTTATACACATTTATCAGTACTTGTTGTATTAACAGTTATATACCGGTAATATCTTATATCAGAGTAGTCGCTAGAATAATAGACTTGAGAAATACTGTACCATTACCAAATATATCGACATTATCGTATGCAGGTGCATTCTCGATATTCGCTGTGATAATATTATTGTTTGTAAATTATAATATCATTTTGTTGAAATTGTTTGGAAATTTTTAAAATAGTCTCCATCTTGGGCCAATATCAATATCTTGAGGAAATGATTTTAATCAAAACTTGTACAATGATAACATTGGAATTGTCCAATATACAGATATAACATTTACATTGGGATTATTTTTTAGGACTTTGTTCAAATATACGGTAATCAGTAAATAGCTAGTTTCAATAAAGTTCAGATAAGACAAGTTTTAGTTGAGTTTGGCTGAGAGCATAGTATGTGTTGTTCATATTTTCACATATCCTGTTTTACAGATTCTTCTGATTTGTTATAAGTGTGAATGAGGTGCTATTCAATATCAATATTTGTATGATAAATGGCAGCAAGGGCAGGAACTCCGATAGGCCGAAATTTTCAAGAGTTTCATTTTGGACCTTGGACAGTGTCTGCTAAAAAGGGTCCTATATTGAAAAGTGATGATGCTGAAACTTTATCTAGAGAGCTTGAGCTTCCTCAAATTCCTGAGATGACATTTGGTCAAAACGCTATCAAAATCAGCCACACAAACAAATTCAGCATTGAATTTAATGCAATTGATGCACTACGACTTGTTGATAACAAAAGAGATTTGATGAAAGTGGCAGCAGCAAAAGAGTGGATCGAAAGTCGCAAAGATTGTGAATATATTCACCAAACTGTAAAGCCTTTTGATTGGACATATTCAACTAATTACAAGGGCACAATTATCGGGGAACCTGAGCATGTAAAAGTAGAAGAGACAGAGGAAAAAATAAACCTTGAAAAATTGAAAGTCCGGGAAAAAATAGCGTTTTTTGAACAGGCTATTCTATTTGAAGATGAACTTGCAGATCATGGCTGTGCAGAACTAAGTGTTAAAATGAGAGTAATGCCATCATGTTTCTTTGTTTTAATGCGCTTCTTTCTTCGTGTTGATGGTGTACTGGCACGAACACATGACACAAGATTATATCACGAAGGAGGCACAAACTATCTTATTAGGGAGTATTCCGAAAAAGAATGCATGCTAGATGGAAGCAATATTCCAGCAAGTGCGCTTACAGATTCTCATGCCATTGATAAGTATCTTTCTAAAAAGACAGAAATTTTACATAAATTGGTTTTCGATGCAAATGTTACAAATATTTCACAAACTTCTTCCCCATTGTCTACTACAAGTACTTGAAACTCTAAAAAAAACACTAAAAATTTTTGTGTGATATATTTGTGCTGTGTTCGCTTTTAATGGGGTTTTAAATAAGCAGGTCTGAAATTTGAATCATGTCAATATTATGCTGAAACCTAATCCATTTATATTATTCTTGTTACAGATTAGTTGTTGATGTCTAGTTTTTATTTGTTTATCGGCAGTTTTGATAATTTTATTAATTCAAATAATGTTGAATATTTTGGTGATATAGTCCATGGTGCTTTTCAGTATGTTTCAAAATACCATTGACCAGTATAAGACACATTAATTTGGTGTTTAAAAAAATATCGTTATTTTCATTGGATACCATTTTTAATGGCGATCGAATCATATATATAATTTGAATAGACGTGATTATTTTCGTTGAGAGGTGGTAATTTGGTTAAAGTTTAATTCAAAATATGTTTGTAATTCTGTCATATACCGGTATATATATATGTAATTTTGTATTTTTCACATTCTGATTTTTTAGATATTAGTGTTATTTTATAACTATTGTTTATCTCACCACATTCAGTATTTGGTTCAAAATGATGTCATCTATGTTAGAAAAAACCTGGGAACAAACTGTTTCATATCTACGTGGAAGTTCTTCAATTCAATTAAAAACCGGTACTGGAATTAATTTGAAACATCTGCAGCATGCTACTATTGCCTCAAGTAGGAGCATGCACATGCAATCTTACAGGAATACCATAAATGAATGCATCGGTAATATGAGAAGCAAATGTCAAGACATGAATTTAACATTATCTGAGAAACGAGAATGTTTATTAATTGTTATTCAGCTTGGAAATATAAATGAAAAACTGAATTTTGTTCATCCATTCGTTATAAAATGTATTGCGGATTCAAAAAATGTTTTTGATAAAGTACTTGGATACACCGCTCTTAGATTATTAAATCAATCATGTCGATCAAGCGTTTACCTTGCTGTGAATACAATACTCAAAGATATATCCAATAAAAATAGTGCTGTTTCTTGTATATCCCTCACTGCCCTTGCATCTTTTATAGATATAGATCTCATTCCTGTGTTTTTGTCTCCTGTAGAGAAAATTTTGAAGTCTGGTCCTTCACATGTGAGATATAAAGCATTGGTTGTGCTACATGCAATGGTCAGAATAGGTCCGGAATATGTCATCTCAGCATGGAGCATAATGAAACATTGTTTGTGTGATAAAGATCCACAAATAATGAGTGGTTGTTTACCAATTATTGAAACACTGTTAAAAACTAGCAAACCTCCACAAGATGCAAATATTCATGGAAAAATCGTCTTTATTTTGAAACAAGTAGAACAAGGAAGATTGCCAATTAATATGATGCATAAAGGAATATGTGGACCATGGATTCAAATAAGATTGATTCATATTGTTCGTATTTTATCCAAGGAAAATTACAATGAACAACATCTTTCAGATCTGGAGGAGATATTTTCGAAGATATTTGCTAGATTTCAAACTGCAGGCTATTTACAACTGGCTATCATTGAAGAATGTGTTCGCACAATTGCAGCATTACATCCAAAAGTACAAAAATTAGAAAATGTTATGCTGGCTGCCATTGAGACTGCTCTATCCAGTACAGACTTGAATATTTTACTAACTGGTATTGAAGCATTAAAAATTATTGTGAAAATAAAACCAGGTTATTCAAAGCAATACACTAACTTATTGTTGAAAAATTTATCATGCGGTAATAAGTCTCTCCTTGAAGCAACGATGCATTTACTTGAAGATTTAGCAACGGCTGAAGATTGCCAACATATTGTCAGTGTTCTTATGGAAAATGTTCAAAAAGTGAATAATGACAAATTGAGAGAATCTATATTGACTGGTGTTTTAAAACTTATTGAGAAATTTCCTATGGATGAAAAATGGATATTAGAGCATTATCTATATCTCTTGGCCTTCAGTGATGATAGTGATATTTCTTTCGCCATCAATAAAAGAGTTGTAATGTGTTTTTCATGTTTATCTGTGGAAACGATGCAGAACGAAGTTGTGAGATTAAGTAAATCACTTCAAGAACGCTATACAATATCACAGTATTGTACAATTTTGGATATTTTAACGTTTTATCATGAAAAAATATCGATTGAGGATGCCAAAAGAACTATTAATGATATTATGTCAAACTGTCAAAAGAATCGCTGGAAACCTGAATCTTACAGTAATATTTTCATACGGTCACTGAATTGTTTATCTGCTTTATCAGTGCACCATAACTTGAAATTCGATATTAAGGAAGAATTTCCAATCTGTCCTTCTATGCTACAACAACATTATATTGAGACTTATCTTCTGATGCAAAATTCACCATTAACAAAATCAATTTTATCAATTAAATTATCTGCACTCAAAGAACCAACTTTTGATCCAAATTTGTCATTTTTAAATGACTATTCAGAAAAACACGAAGATTCAGTATCATCCTCCAGTGAGGATGAATCTTTTAAGAATCAACTCTCATCATCTAATAATAAAGTTTCGATTTCGATTCGAAAAAAGGAATCTGAATTTTTGGTGAAGCCGTATTCTAAATCAAGATTTGATTCCTCGGTTTCAACAATTGATGAAGATAAAATAAAAAAGAATTTCTTAAAGAATGAGGCAAAAGCATCTTCAAGTAAAACTGGTAATGTATGGGATAAAAGTAGATATAAACTAGATGCTGATGGCACTGAGGAATAATGAATTACTATGTGATGATAGCACAGTCTGAGCATCATAATTAAAATTGTGATTTGGAGTCCTAGAGTTATCTTGTACTTTTGTGTCACACTCATTATTTTATTCAAGTTATAATATCACCACACTTATGACAATACAGTAGAACCTCCACTAGCGAAAGACCCTGAATACGAAATTTCCAAGTTACGGAATGTCTTTTCGTAGAAATATTGCTTTGAATAACCATTTGTTAACAATTGTCAACCATTTGTCTCCCACTCACCGCGGTCTTGGCCTTGTCTAGCTGGCCAACCCCAAAGGTAAACAAACCTATAATTTTTATTCGTTATTTCTCTGTTCTTTCTTCTTTCCATGTGTACTTCTCCATTTATTATGTACTAATCTAAATATAACATATATTTGTTAGAGATTTTAGCCATTATTTATAATTTAAACTAATTTAATTTAAGTTTTATGGGGGCATAGAAGAGATAAGGGCATTTATAGGGTAAAATATGTCCAACTTACAAAATTTCTTGCTTACGAAACGACTCCCGGAACGAATTAAATTTGTAAGTAGAGTTTCTACTGTATTGTTAAGTTTGGACGTGGATTACTGGAACACATATTGACAAACAATTGTCCATGCGTCTATATTGCATCCTTCATAAAAAAAAGTATGTCAAAAAGTCAGTTATTCATACACATATTTTTTTTATTTCGTTTGGTTGAATTTTTTTCAATATTTGTAGGCAATTCTTGTTTGTTGTTTCATGTCAATATTCTATCTATTTATGATTCCTAAAAAGCTTCAAATTTTTATTTTGTAATGAATAGCTTTTGCACAAATTAATCTTGATGTTAGATATCTTGTACTTAGAATAAAATCTTATCGTTTCGTAATTTTCAGTTTATCTAAATTAGTTGTTCACTGATATTTGTTGCTTTGATCCCCTTTTTACCCAAATATAAGCTGAAAAAGTTGGAATTTCAGTTAAATTGTGATGGTGCTATCTTTCATCAGTTTCTAGTTTTTGCAAGTTAATAGATATATTATGTTACTAATTATTGGGATTTTTTCATACTTTTTTTGTATGTTTTTTGATGGTTGAAACATAAAACTTACCATGTATATTTTTCTATTTCTGAACTTTCTGGAATATTTACTAAGAGATAAACTTCTATATTATTCATATATATATAAGAATACAAATGTTACGGTATTTTTAAATAAGTTAATGGTACTTTCTCACCACAATTGTTATTTTTTAGTGCAAAAATATTATCACTGTCTGAAATCAAAATTTATCTAACAAATGCCCAAGATAGAACATGTCCAATTCATTCCTGACTGCTTTTTCCACCTTCCCAACTAAGCAGGCTAAATTGTAATGTTATGTAATATGTATTACATTATATATTTTTGTAGGCTGAATATTCTTGTATTCTGTAAATGAGTCATGTATCATTGACTTCCTGTATAAGAAGAAATACTCTGTCGTTTGTTTGTGAATGACGTTATTTTTATGGCTGGTTACTGTGCATTACGAACAATGTGTAGGCAGTTTTGCATTTATGGCATGCCAGAATGGAAGAAATAAGCGATTTTGAAGATTGGGAATACAGAGCAGAAGGAAATCTTCATATTATTGTTGCAAATAAGAGAACAAAGCAAGTTTTGAGATTGTTGAAATGCCACAAAGATCAAACAATTTATGGGTATTTTTTATTTCACATTAGCTACCGGTATATTCTGACTGTATTTTCAATTACCGTAATATACTAATATGATACACTAATTTGTATATTGCATTCTAAAGTGTTTTGATCTACTATCTATTCCTATTACTGATAATAAAATCCAATGCTGGTCAATATACAATACTGTCAAACTGTGTTTGAAGTAATTTTGATTTACCGGTAGTCAAGGTTGTCTACAAACCACAACCAAAATCAGTTTATGACTATCGGTATATTTCTTATGCATAGAAGATGTTCAAGATATTATTGAGAGCTAATTGTTAATTTTTGCAGAGATGTATCAGGATTTGATATTGAAAATGAAATATGCTTTATTCGAAATGTCGCAATACCGCTGATGAGAAATTGTAAAGCTTGCTTTCATGTTGAACGAGCTCCTCTAAGTCGAGACTTCTTGAAAAATATTTCAAAGAGGGTGGAACCACATCGACCAACATCAAGATTGAATAAAGTGAGCTTTGAATAGGGATTTTTACACCTTTGCATTGAAGCAAGGCATTAGAGATCTTCCTGTTCACTCATTGCCAGGGTGGATAAGGTTAGGGATTAGGTCGGAATCTTTCCAGTCTTGAACAGCCTAATCAATCCATTATTACCATAATTATTGAATGTGAAAATAATCTTATTAACTAACCATTTAAAAATCAGAATATATTTATATTATAATATAAACTAAGAATTTTTTTGTTTGAAAAATTAATTAGACATGATATGTAAATTTGGGGCTTTATCTTATGAACTCTGTATGGCTTAATAATTGTTCTGAATAATAATTCTTCTGAATAATAATTCTTCATCAGGGGACACTCTGGCTAGAAGCATTGAAGCAACATTCATTTTTGAAAAGTTCTTTCATAATTACATTTGTAGTCTATTTATCAACTCATCATATTCCTCTGTTAAGAGTAACTAAAACCTGTGGGAATTTTAGATGAAATTGGTCTTAGTCTGAAAACTTGAAAATGAACATCAATGCAGCATCAATTCATCAATGATTGTTACTTTGTTTTATAGATCATAGATCAACGTTGCAAGTATGGGATGTTAATGCCTGACTTCTGTAGAGTTTTGCCGAATCCCACTTCTCACAATGATGTTAATATTAGTATTGAGATTAAACCAAAGCAAGGTTTCATTCTGATAGGTGAGATTTTTTACAGCCTAGGCTTTTCAAGTTTTAATGTTGATATATGGGAAATAATGTTGGATACAAATCACTCAATTTATATTCTATATTGAAAATTTTTTTATTCAGTTCAGCCCATTATTGTCTGTTACGAATTTGTTTACGAATATATCAGGAACTCATTATTGATGGATGTTCTTTAATAATGGAAATTGTGCCAACAACAAAAAATTGACACAGCTTTATCTAATGGAATAAAATTAGCGTTTCTGGAAAATTTGCCTCAGAAAATTTCGCCACATAGCAAAATTCGCTGCAAGAGCATTTTGCTGTAAATCAAGTATTTGTGATGAAAACCGATAGGTTTATAGGTCTAGGGTATGCTTTTAATAAATACCAAATCTTTTTTAAATAAAAAGGTACTTCAAAAACCTGTTTTTATCACAGATACTTGTTTTACAGCAAAATGCTCTTGCGGCAATTCTTCATGCGGAACCTAAAATTAGATATCCATATCCTACTGATTAGCATAATTTTTTGCTGTTGTTCCATGCACTATGTATTCTTTACAGGTCAAAATAGATGTAATTACAGTCAGTTCCAAAGAAATAAGGTTTTGAGCAAGTTTTATGAAAAGGAAAGCACATACTGCCCTCTAGATTTGTTTTCTGGATGCAAGAAAAGAATGAAAAAAGCTATTAAAGCACTTATTCATCATCCTCAAAATAATCTTCGGATTTTCAAGTAAATTATAGTTTCTTGTTGTAAACTATCATTTCTAATTGTAATTTTGATATATTCACCTAGAAGAATGTTGTGACCAGTGTGATACTGTTTTTTTTTTTAAATTGAACAATTTCGAATGCCTCGTGTCAAGAGATATGCAATAAATAGATTATGGTATCATGTTTACTGCCAAAGTGCACTCGCTTATTCTCGTTGATGTTTTTGATCTAAACCTAGGTGCATTTGTCATGTACCTTTGACAGTGATTACCAACCTTTTTTGTTAAATTCCTTCCTCGCGTTCACCCTTCTTACGCATGAAACTACTTTGTTCAATTTGTAATGGATCCCTAGCTAGTGTCACACCTGTTTTTATAAGTAGTTTATATGTGCATGAATAAGTATCAAAGTAATAACGGAAAACTGAAAAATATTATGGATACTACAGCAAATAAAAAGCAAAATTCCTTCCCCAAAACAGAAAACTTCATCCCCGATCGGGAAACGTTGACATTATGAGAATTTCAGAAGATGCTTTTTCTTATCTTTTGGCCGACTTATTATAAAGGAGCTTTGATAAGATAAATCAAAAATTGTTTACTCTTGCAATCCTATATCTTGTAATCAATGGAGTGATATGATTTTAATTGCTTGCAACCTTTGAATCTTCCTGAATTACACTTTTTGGCTACAAGTCTGAATACACCATATTTTTGTAATAACTATTCAATATTATTTTAGAAATGGACACATGATTTATTCTCAAGAAATAGTGGACAAAAAAAACTGCGATAATCATGATTTGTTTAAAGCAACTGTTCTCGGGAACTTTGTCTCACATAGCGACAGCACACGTGGAACAGCAGAAAGATTAAAACGGGCTGCACAAAACTTGCATGATCTTATTTGCAACCTCCTTCTCCATCCAATATGTGAGCAAAAATCAGATAGAGGACATGTAGCTCAATATTGCGATGCTGGTTTTTCAAATGAGGAAGCAAAAAAGTTGAAATCGCCGTTACGTAAGCAAACCCTTCCAACAAATAGCATATTGGGTCTACTTCTATCATTACAGAAACTGGAAAGTCGTTCAATAAATGAATACTATGATATGTATATGTCTATTAAAAACCAATTGGCGATGTTTCCACATGATGCTCAGAGGCTTTCCATAGAAGGTCCATATGACTCAGAACATTGGAAGAAATTAGTTTTTCAAATTACTAAAGGTGACACAAAATCGACAGCTGAATCGGATTTGAAGAAATTAAATGATCTCGATATAAAAGCATCTTTGCTGAGAAAATTTTTGATTGCGACCAGCTTTAAAGACTGTTCAATCATATTGACATTTCAAAAGAAATTACATGATTGTGATCATATTTCCGCAAAGGATTCACCCATTAGTATAACAACTCGACATGGACAACAGTATTGGTGTTCGTTGGCGCTGGTCGACAGCGATCCCAAACTTTCGAACAGGATTCCACAGTATTATCAAGATGCTTGTAAGCAAGCAGCATAAGAAGTCAGAATATCATTGAAAATATCATTTTCTGCATGTCATTCTTGGGAGCTCAATCCATATCATTTTCTGCATGTCATTCTTGGAAACTATTGTGCATGTGATGAATTCTGCTATCCATGTCTTCTTAGTTTATTTATTCAGTATTTCTTGGTCCTTGGGACATTTTTTGATACTCCCTTAGTGTGTGTACCAGGTTCGGGTTGTGCCATAATTTTATTTCGATTTTCCTTATTTTAGTTCTATTACAAGTTTGGGGACTGTCTGTGTTAGCCAAGTGAATATACCCCCTGCCCTTTTTTCAGTCCCTTTACACTCGATGTAAAATAGGTGAACAAAAATAGTTACCTCCATATTGGTACACACACTTCTGGAGCGCTCTTTTTTTTGCTTTAGCTGAAACTCCAAGATTGGAGTTTTAAGTCTTAATGGCAATGGGTAGAGGGATATTCTATTTAAAGCCATTGTCTTCTATGTATGAATGGACAAATCTTTTAATGTCTCCCTTTTAATATATAATGTGATAAGATGACTTTTCAACCTTATCATATTTGTACATAGATTTATCACACGCTCTGAAGATCCTGTCAGGGTTTATATGGTGTTTGCAATGTAATTTAAATGCGTACTATTAGGTTATTGCTCTGCTTTGTTATTTATCTTATTAATGCAGAATTCAGGCTTTATTGATGCAATTATTTGTATGCAGTTGTACTCGTTTTCTTAGTCTACCTTGCAGTGTCTAGTTTTTATTTTAGGAGACTTCAATATTGCTGCCACAACACAATATATGTGCAATGTGTTGTACATAAAACACTATTGCTATAATTATTTTTATTATGTTCTTTAGATATTTGTATCACAATGCAGGAAATCTGTCTATGAAACTGTGTTATCAAAAGCAAGTGATGCCTCGTATTTGTCAGTGTTCACTGTAACAAGGACACCAAGTACTCTTCCCATCACCTAGCTTTGTATACTGCAAGCTTGAATGCATCATAATAACAATATTTTGTTGCTGTAGGTTTCAAACATTTGTTTTGGTGGCCCAATAGCTCATAAATAAAACTTTCGGAATCTGCACTGATTTTTTTCAATGTATTCGAAGTTGACTTCAACTTAAATTCTAAATTGGGTTCAGCTTGTTATGCCGTAAATTGAGACGATCGTTTTGTTGATTGATTTTCAATTTTTGTCTTGTATAGAACTGAGGAGCTGGTTTCCAACTCTGTCGCTCTATGTTAGAAATTATGTGAAAAAATAACTCGATGGTTAGGAGCCGGAGACACTTTTCGAATATTCAATCAATTTGTTGTATACATCACTGGGGCCCTTGATTAAGTTAAAACATTAAGTTGTGTTGTGTATTATTCTTCTTTAATACTATAATAACTGTGGTGGTATTCACCGTGGCACATGTTATACTTTTTATTGTGTAACAACTAAAGACATACACAAATTTAAATAATGCTGCTTACTCTACATCCATATGGCATGAGATATTTTACTGATGAACTTGAATCGCAATTTCATCTGCATGTGAAATAGTATGTTTAACGCAATTTTCGTTTTGGGGTAATGTCACAGTTGCATGTCACTGTGCAATGTATTTTTATTTTTCATTCATTATGCGAGGAGATTACTGCCATCAGGAATGTGGTGTATTTTGTGCAATTTTGCATTACCTTGCCATTTCATTTATACACATTTATGTTATTATATATAAATTGCATTATATACGGTTCCATGCGATATTAGTGTATTTAATAATTGCCTTGTAAAGAAAGTTCAATTAGTGATCGAGGCAGAATTTTGTTGGGAGTGATCACATTTGAAGGTGACAAAATCGGGGGTCTTGACTGCAATACTAGAGCAGTTATTATTACCAGTGCTTAGAGATCATTCGGATAGAATGACTTAATTAAGTGCTGTAAACTGCAAAAATAATCTCAAGCGGGAGCAGTGGACAATAGGAGTGCATTTAAAACCACTTGGTAATTAATAATTTCTACAACTAGTGTTTCATACTTTCAAACTTGAAAAAAGTGTGTTATCCTGAAACAAAGTCGACTGGGGACAAATGCTGAATTTATTATCTTAGCAAGACAGATTTCAGTTATTGGTAATTTTCTTTTATAATCCTGGTTATGCAACAGCACCTTCACGACCTATTTCTCCAGCCTGTAAAATAGCTGCTGGCCAAATAATCAAGATTCTTGCCTAAGTAGCCATACAATAACAAAATGGAGCAATTCTTCCGATATAATGCAGTGAGAACAACCGAACTAGATTATGTTGTAGTCAACAGTATTAAGACTATTATCACGCATCTCTTGAAGTTCAGGGAAACTGTCAAAGCACCTAACTAAATCTGAAACCATACCAGTTAAATTCAAATCACTACAAAATAAGTACAGCAAACATTGAAGTGCTAATTTTATTCACAATACCAAAAGTATAAGATAACTACAATGAATCGGTATTTGATTTAGAAACTAAATAATGATATATAGATTGTCCTTATAAAGAAAAAATAAGATAGCACAGCTCCTAACAAAACACCATTTCGCAGTGCATGGTATATAAAACTTATATTTCTCATATCCTGACACTGGTCATTAGCTGTTTTTTTAATCATAAACAATTGATGTTCTGATTGGTCACAAATGAAGTGCATAATTCCCAGTGCTTTCTCAATTCATTAACTATTTTATGTGAAATGACTAGCTGAGGGTAGCTGGTTAATATACCATCAACATTGCATAACATGTTTTAGCAGTGTATGTGGCAGTATAAATGCTTTTAATAAAAATAAAACCCTACACGAAAAGATTTCGAAGATATTTAGTAGATTCGATTTATCTGTAACATACCTGCACTCAAAAATAAATTTTAAACAGAGAATCCTAAAACTACCATGTACGGCAGTGATAAATCATAGGACAGCATGATCTTTGGATGACTAAATCCTCAGAATCAAAGCACATGACCACACTTTGGTTAATAAGTGTCTTCCAAAATTGTATTTCTGATATATCTTAATTAAAAACTTTCGAGCATGAGTTAAAATATGAATCAGGCTGATTATCATGTGTGGGTTTTTGAGTGTTTGATGCAAACAAAGGTGAAACAATAACATGTCAAAGTAACTTACGTCTACTACGACCACACACAGACAGTGGAATGCTACAATATACAAAACATCAAAGTATCGAGTGCAATTCCCGTGCAGGATACTCGAAGAAAGCACATTCAAGAGATTCACATTCATGAAAACACCACAGAAATGTCGAAAACCTAGATAGCATGAACCACAGTACCGTTTATTTTACAAATGAACCAATACATTTGTATCTGCAACATGGGCAATTTTGCAAGCCGTTATTACTGAAACTTCAGATTGAAAAAAGTGGAGTGAAATATTTCAAAATCATCATTCCACAGTTAATATAAGAAAATTTTCAGACAATGATTTTGATAGCGACATAAATGCCAAAAGATGTTGTATTCGTGTTATAAGAGCATATTGAAATTCCTGGAACTTAAAAAATGAACTTATCAAGGGGTGTTAGGGATTACACCTCAACAAATATCGTCTGTAGACGGTATCCACCCATACAATTCAATAATATGTTCATATAATCTCTAATGTATAGGACTGGGATATATAGACTTTTCACCCCCCTGGAGTTTTCCAACAAAAAGACAGTTTGAGCTTCTGATTTTCAGTTCAGTATTCGGTCCAGAGAAAATTTCTTCTTCAGTTAATGATTTATGGGAAAGGAAAATTTAGATGAATAATAGAACTAAAATGCAGAATATTATGAAGGAGTATAAAAATGCTAAAACAGTTTTATCGATTAGGTAATAGTCCGCGTTGTGTCAGACCTTCAAACCTTTTATATGTGTAATTGATGAAAACCCAGTCTTTAGATTCGTCCATTTCTTTACCTTGTTGTTGTAGTTGTTCTGAAATATCAAATAAAAGTACTCGAACCCCAGGACTATGAACGATTTATATTAAATGCTCACAATTCACAAAAGTAACATTGAAATTTTATTGAAAAAAATGACAAATCATAATTGAATTCAGAACTCAATTTCTGGAAAATAGTATTTGTGGGCTCAATTACTATTGAGAACCTAAGAACTCCAACTTATGGTGTCAACATGAATATGTCCATTGAAAATTTTGTTGTCTTAGGAACATGGTTGACGTTGTCTTAAGAGTGTTCATAAGTACGAGAATAACTGGTTAACTATTTCTATACCAGATATGGTATGGTAACCAGATGAGAGGCAGTGGTTCTTGATGATTAATAATTTTATCAGTTATTCTTGGGAATGAATATGAAAAAGTAATATGTAATTGTTTAACTTTAAATTTAAGACTGATACATGCGTAACCCCAACATACCTGGTTTAATATCAGAATCTGGAAATTCATCAAAATTAGAAGTATCTGTGAGACTTTTAACTTGTACAGGAATAGCAGCTGGTCTATCGCGTATATGCTCCCAGTCAACACCCCTTTATAAAAATGTTGATGTATCAACAATAAAAAGGCAATATGAACAAGAAGGCATCACTTGTCATCAATTGAGAACAAGTTTGTCAAAATCTTTGTGGTGGTTCAATTTTTCACATATTCACAAAGAATCACAATTTAGGGGTATAACACAAGGTGCCAAAGGGATCGATTGCAAGCGAAACTTTACATCTCACTTTAATTACTGAAAATATAAAAGCAACTAGACTAACACTTGGAGAAAAAAAGTGAATTTTAGAATGACAACATGAGCAGCAGAACTACCAATAAAATTACCAAAATGAGACATTAGCCACTTTATGTGTCCAATATACGTATAAACCAATAACAATAAGAAAGGCAAATATGTAATTAGGTCTGGCAGCTGGTTTGAAATCACAATGGCCACAGCACCAGATTTCATTTTTCACCTCGGAGCTGGGCCCATAGCCATTGGTTTATTTAGTATGACCACTAAAATGGGAAATCAAACTAACTGCAAAACTATGATAAGAGGGTTTCAAATTAATTTGCTGAACTGTAGCAAAGACATAAATTTCCTTACCTGAAAAATTTGTGATTCCTTATTGTTTGAACTCCATCAATACCAAGACGTCTGTCAGCCTCAGCACAGAGAGATAAAATCAAATCACGAGCGATATCAGATATTGGAAGTTCAGGTGGAAATACAAGATGAGTTTGCCAGTGCATAACTTTGTGATATGTTTCTTGAGGACTTTCAGAACAAAATGGAGGATATCCTGCATAGAACAAGTATACATTTATGTAAAACGGCGGTGTTGTAGTTGTTGCAACACAATATGAGTAAATGACGAATTGAAATTTGAAAAATTAAAAAAAATAACGACTTTGTTGAATATTCACATGATGGGATTCCCCCTTACTTTAGTTTCTCTGTACTCAATTCATGGAAGTTTAAAATTCAATTTACAAAAATTTAGATGACACATAATAATCAATTTCCCCTTGAATTGTTTAAAGCAAATCAGTACACTAAAAAATGAATAATAATAACTGCAAGATACATGGTTGGTATTGTGAATAGTCAATTACAGGAAGGCATTACTATACCGGTGTGTGAAATTTGGTGAAATATGTTATAATAATAATTGGTAAAACACTCTAATTTAAACTACAACTCATTGATACAATACAGTAATGGTCTTCAGTGCCCACAAATGGAGCTGACTTGGGTCCAACTGTTAATAGCAATCTTAATACAACCAAACACACCACAATCAGTTAAATTTCAACATAGCACCATATACAATGCACATCAAAATAAAATCAGCTGAACAGATCAGGTAAAATGGTGTATACTGTATACATACCTATAAGGCACTCATACATAATAACGCCTAATGACCACCAGTCACAAGTTTTCGTGTATCCGGCTTGATGAAATACTTCGGGAGCAATATAGTCTGGTGTACCGACAGTAGAATAAGCGAGTTGACGTCGTTTACTTTTCCACGTTTCAGCTTTTCTTCGTGAATCGTGCAAACTAAGAGGCTTTGATGCTGAAAATTTAATTTTTCTGTTGATAAAACTAATAGTAAATATTATTGAATATAATCAATATTCCATACTCGAAAAATAATTTTAGAATGTATTTGGAATATTGAATTATTCAATTTTAGGCACTCCGGAAGTGTGCATACCGATATGGAGGTAACTAATTTTGTTCGCCTACTTTACTTCAAGTTGTGTGAAGGCCAAGGGACTGAAACTTATGAGCAGGGGGTATATTCATTTGGCTAACACAGATAGTCCCCAAACTCGTAATAGAACCAAAATAAGGAAAATCGGAATAAATTATGGCCCAACCCTAACCTGGTACGCACACTACGGGAGTACCGAATTTTGACCATGCTTGATCACCAAATATTGTTAGTACAGTATCACAAGTAATATTATTATTGTCGAAGGATATACCGTAGATCAAGGACATCATTACAACATTATTAATGTATTTTAGATCGAAACAGTAAAACATTACCAAAGTCTCTGGGTTCTGCTCTTGACAAATCCCTGTAGTAATCAGTGCTGTGGGCTTTTTTCAATCCTGTGCAAAGACCAAAGTCTGATAATTTGACATGTCCTCTATCGTCAAGTAAAAGGTTATCCGGTTTAATGTCTCTGTGAATAAAATCTAATTGATGTATTGAATCAATTGCGAGAATTGCTTCTGCCACATAGAATTGTGTTTGTTCCTCTGTTAAAGTGTCATACTTCATGAGAAGGGTCATCATGTCACCTGTACAAATAAAACTTATGATAAAATAACGATTTAATACAATGAGGAGATGGAATGAAAAGTAGACATTTTGGGGCAACGATATCAAACGGCCAAGTGTGTGTATTTAGAACTTGAATTATAATCTTGAGAAGACAAAAGCATATATTTGTATCTTTAAAAGTCCAAAGTCCATGCATTTAGAGAAATTGACTGGTTAGCTTAGATATGGCCAAAACTCAATAATCATCTATTTCAAATACATTCAAGAATAATATTTCCAAATACATAATATAGAATATATTTTAAAATGGGTCATTTTTAATCGATACACTTCGAAGTCAATTATATTCCAGTTGTTTCATCACTGTCAATTTACTCAAATGCAATCATCCCAACTAGTACTAGCTTGGATTTTACAATAGAAGGATCAAGATAAACAATGGGTTGACTATTCATTTTTAATTCACAGAAATAAAAATAAAGGTCTTCTTGTTCATACAGCAAGATATCGTTAACCTCAAATGATGAATTTCCAAAATACACCATTAATTTTGAAATGAACCCTTAATTCTCTTTTGCATGTAACCAGAAATTTTAAAATTTTCAAAATTATCACTCTTGAATCAATTTCAATAATCATTCCATCCGTAACTGTACAAGAGCCACCTTCATATCCTCCAGGAAAATATGGTTATGATAAACATATTGAACTATTAGCTAATCCACTAAATAATAGTTTTCCATCCAAGTGCCAGTATAGTTATAATTCCAAGTAAGAAGATGATTTCATAGGACAAATAAGCTGGTTTCAATCCTATGCTAATGTTCACAAGGGCTATTCCAAGTGACACTACAGGACAATTCCAGAAATTTTCAAGTTGTTGGATGCAATATATTTTTTACATTTTCAGCTACATGTTTTGTTTCATTGTCCAATCAATTGCTTTTTTAAATATGGAAAAAATTGCACAAAAGTTACACCCAAGACATACTTAGTGGATATAAAAAATATAGTAAAATATAGTGTGACACTACAGGACGGCAAATCCACCATGCACTAACAGTACGTTGTGTTATGCTGTAAATTTTTGCGATCCTACAGCAGGAGCCCATAATATTTTCTGGTTCAATAGCTGAACTACCCCTCTATGTGTTGCTCAATTCACCTAATGTAACACTGTAAATCCATGCCAATAATGTGCATATTCTATGTGACACTACAGGACGCAACACCACAGGACATTTTTCCACTTCGAAACAGCGGCCTCTATCATCTCTCAAAATTCTGGTAATAAATCGTTAAATGGGTGAAGAAATGTCATACAGCACTGCAAACATTTAAACTTTATTAACTTAAATTCAGTGAGTCCATTTCATATGAAATAACTGTATAACACAATCAAACACTTTGTGTCACGAATCATCACAAAACTTGTCAATTATACCAAAATTTCTACATTTTAGGCCATTTTTTAAAAACCATCAAAAACCTGGGTGAAATTTTAACTTTTTCGGTGAAAGGAATGCAGTTCAATAAAATTCCAATGTTTTTTGATATCAAAAACACAAAAAAATTACTTTCACTACACTTTTAAAAAAATTGATGGAATTCAACTTTTGCTTGGAATGGCCCACAAATACATCATAAAAATGATGAGCAAAATGTTGATCTATGAAAATTAGCATGACATAGACATTATTATTCATACCTCCAGGAAGAAATTCCATGATTAAATACAGGTTATATGTATCTTGAAATGAGTAAAACATTTTCACGACCACGGATTTTCTGCCTGAACTAGAATATCACGTTCAGCTCGAACATGTGCAACTTGTTCTTTATCCATCATGTCTTTTTTTCGCAGCATTTTCATTGCATAAATATGTCCAGTGTCTTTTTTTTGGACCAAGTGAACCTGAAAAATTGTGATAATCAATGGTAAAAAATAACTAGAAACTTGCTAAAATCAAGTTTTTGGATACTTAACAAATCACTTTCAAACTCGAATCACTTTCTAAGTGGAAATGGAGGTACTCTCACTTTATATTTTTCACTATTTAATGGGTATCCTCGTTTATGCCATGTGTGGCTTATGCTTACCGGTACTTCAGAAAACTGGGTCATTTTGTGGACTTATCACCAATCCATTATGGCCACCAAGTTCTTAACAAATGGCTATGCTCATGGCGATAGTACGGTATATAATTTAAGCACTGTTCTGTAGTTAGTTGATTATAACGTTAGATAAATTGCGTTTAAATTGTCTAGGAGAGGATTTTATGATACAAAATAATATGCGACGTAAATATCAATACTATCTGTATATTAGTAAAAAAATAAATTCGTAAAATTTGTCTTTCATTAAATGACATGGAAACTAACATAGAATATATACACACCTCTCCAAATGCACCTCGTCCAATGACTTTCAGCATTTCAAAATCACCCAAACCAAGTCGCGTGCGTTTGAGTCTCAAAAACTCTGTCTCCTTCAGAGCATGTTGTTCACGACGACGATCTCTCTGAAATATGAGGTTGAGAATATAAGAAGAAATAATATTTCCTCCTAATACTAGAATGTGTTAGTCATGAAGTTGTGGAGAAATTGATTCCAGATTGGTAATTTAAAAGTATTTTTCCCTTATATTAGCAGATTTGACGTTTATTAAATCAACACCTTCTCCAAATATCTGTATATTACAAAACCATCACAATCTGGAGTTTCAACTTGATGGCTGATAAAGAATCTATTGAATATATATCTTAGCAATATTTCAGAAGTAAAATTCATTATGTTCATATTACACAATAATATTTTTGTATATATAGCTTTTTCACCATTTGAATTATTCAAAACACTTTCCAGCAGCCTAATATATATCCTATATATCAAAAGGAAGGTCTGAATATGTTCTACTACACTTAAGTTTTCATTCTTAGTTTCAATTTTCACCTTAGCTCAGAAGGCATTTTTTTGATACCCACTGATCATGCTTTGTCGAATTTGGTTCCAAAATTTTAATAGGAAAGTATACAAAATATTAAGTAATCTAAGTAGAATAGAATATTAAAATTGCGTGCGATGGCCCTGTAGTAGTAAGCAATGGATTTAACTATGTTGGCACCTTTCCCAGGAGTATAATGGGGCAGAAAAATCCTTGTTTGGAGTAGAAATACTGCTGATAAAAAAGCTGAAATCGATAATTTCAAGATGCATAAGAAGTTTCAAATATCTCACTTGGATTTAACAAATATACAAAATGTAGAAAAGGGCATTTCTGCATTTACCTCATCAGTTGGTAATTCTTCATTGTTCATGGTCTTTTCCAGTAAACTCATCCTTTCCTCTCGTTCAAGTTGTTGATTCATTAAATTGGAATAAAAAGTTTCGATTGTAACTTTTGCTTTGGTTACTTTATCTAATGTGTGGCCGCTCATGGCAGTGTTGCCAGGAGCTGCCATGTTTGTCAGTTGTTGATCTTTGTCGGAAGTCTAAACTACTTTAACAGCATTTGGAGTCCACTTGGAATTAATTTCGAAAACGCCTCTACTGCTGTAAAGTAATTTAATAAATTGGAGCATGAAAAGTTGAAAACAATGATTCATATATCATATATTCATGCCATGCAGGGATGGTTATGTGCGAGAGGATTGCTGGACTCCTCGCCGTCGTTGGGTGGTTCACGTAACCGCTGGTCGGTTACGGCTTCCTCCACCACCAAGTCCATGCTTCCGAAAACAAACAATATAACTAATCCCATACCCGACTTGGAATGGTAACCGAACGAGAGGCCGTGGTTCGCCATATAGATAAGCCGTCTTATCGGCTTTCCTCTCCCCCGGGATAAATAAGTAAATCTCAATCCCAATCCTATATGACAGTATGAACAGAGAATGTATTTTTTTGACACGCCTCACAGCTTCACTTTAAACAAGGCTCTATACAAGCATCTTATCACTACGTGCTGACGTGAAAACCTTCTATTTTTTGAAAGACAGATGGTAAAAGTTGAGCATCTTACATCTATTGAAATACTTTATAGACAGATAGAAAGAAAATCTGTGGCATACGTAATCGCACAAGTTCAAACATGAGTGGGCCTCACCCCAGTCTGGATTTCATGGCCTTTTTGAACGAGAAATCGGGCGTGCAATCAGAAATTCCCGCGTGCAAATAAGAATTCCTGGCGTGCAATTATAGCTCACGACGTGCAAAACAACTGCACTCGCGTGTAACTGACTTTGACATCAGATACCTCTCAATACATCCGCGTAAATTTACCGGTATCGGATAAAAAATACGTTGAATCAGAGAAAAAATGGACGTTTGACCTTTGACCCCAAACATTATTTCTACAGTTTGTCGCTAATTTTGAGTGTGTTTGTGCGACTTTGGATACCGGTACTGTTCAGTACATCCGCGTAAAATTATTGGATAAAAAATACGTTGAACCAGAGCTAAATGGACATACTTTGTCATTAATTTTGGTAGTGTTTTTACGTAGAATTAATGGATAAAAAATACGTCAAATTAGAGCAAAATGGACGTTTGACCTTTGACCCCAAACATTATTTTCATACTTTGTTACTAATTTTGGAAGTGTTTGAGCAACTTTAGATACCGGTACTGTTCAGTACATTCGTGTAAAATTATTGTATGAAAAATACGCTGAATCAGAGCCGTACTTGGCCATTGGTGCGGAGGCGATCTTTTCGTCCATAACTATTCTCACGGGATTCCTATTTCCTATCATTCAACACGATATGGACCTTTCCCCGAGCATCGACTTCCTTGTTTACTTCGTGACATTGGCCAATCAGCAAGATGCAAAAAAGGACGTAACAATGAGAGGAATTTTTCGCGGGTCAAAGGTTGGGGAAAGGTCCATGGTCTTTTTGCTTCGCAATATTTCGATCAGACCAAATCTTGCAAGCTGGTATTTGTCGACAATTGTGGAGTTGTAATATTTTGGCATCTTTATATTACTGGATTATTGATTTTAAAACCATTTAAACCGATTTACATTGGTGAGCAATTGCAAATTTTCGGCGTGCAAAATTGATTTCGCTCGCGTGCATTTTTGCGGAGCGCTAGCGCCCTCGGGCGTGCACCTGCCATGGAATCCAGTCTGGGCCTCACCTCATTCATATAGATATTATGAAAAAGAGTTACATATAAAAAAACTTCAGATAGTATAAAACAGAGAGTAAAGTGATATTTTAGTATTTCGATCATTGCTATCAGAGAAAATCTGAACAAGTTGATTTGATCTAAAATTACAAATGTAGTATTTAGGTATTTTCGAACTTGAAACAAGGTACTGCAGTACTGTACCAAACAAATGGCTGAATGGGTACAAGTTGACTTATTCTATCAGTGACTTAATAGTGTATTAATGAAAACTTATCTTCATTTGTAATTTCAAACTAATGACAGAATGTGGTAATGTGAGGTCAGGCAGTCAGGAGGTATTGATAGACATGGCTGCCAAAAACATACATTCAGACATTACAGTAAATACGGTATAGATATTTCAGACAATATATTTCTGATCTGATGAATAACTTCGGCCTCTAAATACAGACAGGAAAAAACTAAACTCCAGAAACTCAGGAGGCAGGAAGGTGATGTGATTCAATCACAATACCAGAATACTGGTAACTCCTTCAACCACGGTCGTTTTGTCAGTAAATCAATTTTACAGTTGGTTATATCCAACGATTGTATATGGATGTTATTGGGGTAACATTAATGCTGTTTAACTACTCGCGCAACAGACAGCATTTCAATGAAAAAAAATAGAATGACAGACTTCAGGAATTGGTACTGTAAACTGATGAACTGCGAGTGCATGTTGCAAATTTTGGTTTCACTGTCTCTCAATGAAAATAATAAAATATACTTATTAGTTAAAACAACGCTTACACGAGGATATTAAATAACGAATTGCATACCACTTTTCACATCACTAGTTACAGAGTTACGAGGAGGCGAATAAATTGCAGGATGGCGTGAGAGAGTCGATGTTACTTGTTATTGCAAAGGCGATTCAGTTCTAATTTTTTTTAGATACCGTATCAGATCTGCAGAGGTGAGTGGGCTTGTGGATTGCTGACTCTTGAATATTTTGAAAATTATTTATTTAATACAATGTTGTGTACCACAAAAACGATTCCAATTTGCACAAGAAGAGTTTCTGCTTTGAAGGTGAGTGATATAATTTAAATTACAGAATTTCGATATCCGGTCTATTGCAAACATACCGGTACCGTATTGCAGTATTATTAACAACTCTTTTCATTTTAGGCAGTGGTGAATGCTAAACAGTTTCAACGAATAAATTTTTCAACCACAACACATGATCTTGAAGCTGATAAAAAAATCTGCTATTGCAAATGGACCTGGATTAGACGGATTTTGTGTCAGGAAATATTGAAGAAGCGGGATGGCCATCGGCAACATTATCACTGGAGATCTTGTTGCGGACAAAAGGATTAAAAGGATATGTCAAGCTTTGGTTATTTATTATCAACTGTGTCAATTTGCTATTAGGGGCATTCAAAGTGATGCATCTTTTTGATGATAATCTTGACGGCCCCATTGTACAAGTGAGTTTTTGGTACAAAAGTAGGAAGCCTTTTTGCCACAAATGAAGTATTAATACAAACTATTCATATACGAATGGGCTACTCATTCACCAGAGTAGTGGCATTCACTGATGAACTCAGTAGAACCCTTCCCCCTAATCCATATGCAGACATGAGTGTATAATCTATGTTATTATTTTAACAACTCACAAGAAAATATAAACTCAAACCATCCTGTGGTCAGGAAAGTCTCTATACCTGTATACCAAAGTAGGATTCTTAGCACAGGCATGTATTTTGGTAAGATGATGATAATGAAAATTTCTCTCAGGCAATTTAATATTTTAAATAAAATATCCAAATTCACCATAAATTACCACAAATGTTTTACAAAATTGACTAGCCTACTTTCTGTTCATAGGTTGAAATTGCCACCTTGGTTGAAAACAAAATTTCCGCAAGGCGAAAACTATAAAAAACTAAAGTCTGATTGAGGAAATTAAAATTGAGCAACTTGTGTGAAGAAGCTCGCTGTCCGAATATCGGAGAATGCTGGAGGTGGTGGGAGAGCATGGAACTGCAACAGCAACAATAATGGTATGTCGTGCTTAAAATGTTCATCCATATACAGATTTTTTCGCATTCAGAATGTCTTTGTAATGTTTTGTTTGTCACACAATATCAGATTAATCAGAGAGAAAATGAGAACGTATGACTTTACTTTGATATGTGATTGAATTGAGCGGTGTACTAATATAGATTTCTAGAATTATTTCTTCCTATATAATCATTTTGATATATACATAATATATATATATACTTTCAGCTCATGGGTGACACATGTTACACGTGGATGTAGATTTTGTTCAGTGAAAACAGCAAGGAATCCTCCACCTCCTGATCCTATGGAACCAGAAAACACAGCTAGAGCCCATCTCTGAATGGGGTCTTGATTATGTTGTACTGACATCGTTGACAGGGATGGTATGTATAATTTAATTTAAGTGTCTATGGTAATATGTTTTAGCATGCTGCTGGGCAACCATTGAATTCAGCCAAATAATGTATAATACCAGTTGATGTTTTATATACTATCTCAATTCTCCTGAAAAATGCTATGAACCTGATAACATCTAGTACATTTGTAACCTAATTTTCCATATTTAGAAGGCAAACTAGCTTTATCGTTGTCAAAGATTATATTCTGGATATTAAGCATATGTGGTGATTGAGAATAGTAAGTTTATATATTGTGGGCCTAGTGATTAAGTGCTGAGATTTACTTTAAAATCACCGTAAGTTGAAATATTGGGTTTAAATGTATGCCCACCCTTCTCACACGCGAGTTATTAAAAAAATGGGTAGGCAATGACAAATTTTACCAAAATGTCACACTTTAATAAAGCCATCTGAGCTTTAGTTTAGTATCAACAGAATCAAGATACTTTGTTTTATCATCCCTTGTTGCTGAATAACTAATTAAAGGAGTCGTGTTGGTATGTATGGAGCCAGATAACCCTGCAATAGTATTATCAGAATTATAATTGATTCAAATACTGTGAAATTCTTTCATTTTTTTAACAGATTTACCAGATGGAGGTGACTGAACATTTTAGTAACACTGTGAAAATATAAAAAAGTTTTATTAACAGTATATTTGTTGAATGTCTGACTCCTGATTTTCGTGGTGACAAAAATTCTATGAGACACTTGCTACATCTGGATTGGATGTATATGCTCACAATATTGAATGTGTCCGAGATTTAACATGGTATGTACAAATGTCTATTAACATTGTTTAAACTAATTACTATACAGGGTGTCTAAAAGTAAGTATACACTTTTAATTCTGATTTGCTTTTCAGGTACTCATCATAGAGCGCTCATTTCTTTCAAAAACATTAGTATGGATAAGTAGTAAAATTTAGGTATTGTTCGCATTTTTATATCAACCCCAACGATGGACAAGGGAGATTAACCCAAAAAATGAGGTGTAGTTTTGGCAAGATTGCATATGAATCAGGAAGACAAACTCAGTGGCTCTCAATAGAGAATTTGGAATTAATTCGGCACCTACACAACGAACAATTTATACAATTCATCGTAAATTTATGGAAACTGGATCTGTAGTTGATGCACAATAATCAGGAAGACCTAGAAGCGGATGCTCTTGAGGAAAACATTTCGAGACGAATTTATATGCTTCTTGCCAAACAGCAATTTTGCACCTCATTTCCTAGGTTAATCTCCTTGTCATTCTGTGGGTTGATAAAAAATGCAAACAATACCTTAATTTTATTACTTATCCATACCATCTTTTCTGAAGAAATGAACGTTCAGATGTGATGAGTACCTGAAAAGTAAATCAAAAGTGTATACCAACTTTTGAGACACCCTATATTTATATTATACAGTCTTAAGACAGTTGGGCAGAAGTCAAATTTGAATACTCTTCATTGAGAAAATTTAGTTTGTGCGCGGTAAGAATAAATATCCTGTCAATCAAAAACATTGCATCTTCCTACATATCCATGAATGCTCGTGTAATTTTAGAATTGTTTCGCAATGAAAATGGCCGAAACCTGACTTACCACCCTATGAATACCATGGTAAATAAAATCGAAGAAAATTCAAATATCAGATAATTTCTGATGGAATATAACAAGGTGTGCCTCTATTACCTAACTTGTTCTCAAAGATAATGAATTAAATTTCAGGTTGGTTCGAGATCCCAGAGCAACATACGATCAGTCATTATCGGTGTTGTCTCACGCAAAGTCAGTTAATCAAAATATTTTAACAAAATCTTCTATAATGCTTGGATTTGGAGAAACTGATGAAGAAGTTATGCAAGCTTTAAAAGGTATGAGGAATAGCAAATCACGATTTACCATTGACACATTACATGATAAAGGCTTTGTACACAGACGTGACAAATAGTAAGGCAAACGTATAAATCAGAATGGCATTGGTGACACCAGCGCTTGTCAGTTTTTTTCATCACATTTTTCTATAGTATGTATTTTTCATATTACAATCTGTGGATCAGTTGTGTACCATCAGTCCATCACATAATATTATCTATGAGTTGAAGCGATGGAGCCAGTGGCGCAACCAGCGGGGGGGGTTACGGGGTCGTGTCCCCCGTTTGAAATTCGTTTTTTTTATTATTGTTCTACGTTCAAACAACGTCGTTCTACGGTCATAACAATCCGGTGAAAACTACTTTTTTCCAGTGCTTTATCACCTCGACGTAATTTAACACCGCCCGACTTCAATCATACCTTTTTGCTGTTAGTTACGTGATAATCGCTATCCCCGCGTATATGTTTGTATTCCAAAATGAGATATGTTACCTCAAAAAAGTAGAAATCGCGCGCTGTCGATGCGAATTGAAAGCGACAATAGCATAATGCTATCTCTCTCTCTCTTGTGACGAATACTCTCGTGCTTCATCATCTTGACGCAATGTAACGCGCCCGTCTTCATGTTATAATGATGCAGTAGAAACTCTGAAAATCTGGATACGAAAATTATTTTCGGAAAAATATTGCTTTCGATTAAACCTAAGATTTCTACATATGGAAGGCCGAAAACGCCGTACACATCCTACCGCCCCCGTCGTCCCACGTTCTGATTTAAAACATTTCACCAATTATTTTCATTTTTATATCGCAATCGAAACAGTCATGTGTGGCACGGCAATAAACTAACACAGTCGTCGTGAAAGGTTTTCAATAATCTCCGACTTGAAGTGCTTATAAGACGTCGAGGACGTTTTTGGTTGAAATTTTTTACATTATGTTATCGTATATTTCAATTTAGTCAAGATTTGTGTGCGCTCGGCAATAAACTCAAAAGCAAATCCTGCCCTAATTAATTGTTTTCATCCTCAGTTATAGCTTCTAAATATTATTTGGTTTTTATCGGAGATTTTATCGTTATCCCGACGTCGTTGATAAACAATAATCGTTCATTTTAAGTTGGAGGTATTGGTTTATAATCAAAAATTATACACATAACATTGAAAATTAAATCAAACGGCCCGACTCAAAAGTAAAACCACGTTTTCCATCTTTATTCTCCTTTCATTGGGCGGACGGAAATTTGGGAATCGGTTTAAACTAATTTGATCTATGATGACGATGGTAAACAAAGTACACAAACATACCATCCCGTTCTAGTTTTTAGTCGTTATTTCTCTGTCCTTCTTCTTTCTATGTGCATATTAATTAAGACCATAAAATATGTTTTATTTTTTAACTCTGCGCTGACTTTGAATATTTCCTGTCGGCTGTTATGTATTTTTGTTTGTAAATGAATACCACTAACTAACTGAACGATGTTGTCATCAACGCCGGATGCCGACGAAATCCGCGATAGATATTAAATACTATTTAAGAGCTATTATATACGCGCTAAATTACAAGAAATGAAAAAATTTCCTGTTATGTTTCGGTCACTATCGAAACTGAGGATGAAAACAACTAATTAAGACACAATTTGCCGAGGACGCCTAAACCATCTCGACTAAGTTAAAATACACGATAAGAAAATATTTTCAATCAAAACGTCCTCGAAGTCTTATAAGTTCTTCCAAGTCGGCGTTTATTCGAAATTCTTTCATGTCAGCTGTAATATATTGCCGAACCACACATGGACGACGACGCTAGGATATGTGCGCCATATTCGGGATTATTATAAACACGAAAACAGTATTTGAAGTTTGCGATATTGAATTTAAATTCGATTTGGACATCCCTGCATTAAAATTAATCAGTTTTTAGTTGTGTTTCCAAAAATTAGTTGTAAATCAATTATTTTTAATTGTCATCATGTCTTCCGGTGAGCTTCAGTTTAGTTTAGAATTTTTCTGGGGTTTAGTGGTCGGGAAAAGGTCCATTCGCAAGAAGTGCATTTTGTTTTTAGTCTTGACGAATTCACCCAACGAGCAACGCGCGGCACGAGGGAAACACTGGAATTTATTCAAGCCGTGTTTCACTATCCACGAGGCGCAAAGTGAGGGAAACGTTGAAAATAATTAAAAGCTTTTCGTTAGCAATTCGCCGGAATGTAATGAACGGCGTTTTTTTACCCACGAGGTGTAAGACATAGCGAAGCACCGTTAATGAATGAGGGCAAGGTAAGCGAAAGGCTGGGATTTAATCGTTTGCGTTTCCCTTTTAACCACGAGCAATTGTTTCAGCGGGGCGTCACCTAGTGGCGTTGCGACTTACGTCGTGGTTGCACTGTGTAAATTCCGGTCGGACCCCCTATAGCAACTAACCCCCAAATGTACCCCATTTCATGTTAAAATATGAAAACACAGTTAATTTTTCCCAAAATTCGAACAAAGACTTTCGTAGGAATCAAATTACACCAGGTTTAAGACATAACAGGTTCCATCCAGTCATTATCAAATTAAAATCTATATTCTCAAGACCTTTGGCACTGATTGAAATAATTATATCTAAGTTCCCATCCGTACGATGTACCATAATTACCCTTGTTGAGATAATAGGAATTTCTGTTTATAACGTGAATCACGAGCTCACGTTTACAGCATTTAATTGGATTTATGATCAACGTATAAATACGACTCCGATATCTTTCGAGAGGAGAAGACGATGTAAACCATTCTAAGCTAGTCTGGATAAATGTTATAAGATTTGTATTCTGTGTGTTGTGGAAATTTACGAATAAAAACATATAGAGATTTTTAACGCATCTTCATTCACGTGGGCGTTGAAGCTGAAGGGTGAACGGGTGACTTGCAAGTCAGAGACAATCTACGAAATAGCAATATACGGTAACATCACATACATCTAACAACCATTTATGCTATAAATGGTGACAAAGCCGACTTGAATTAACCTTCTGAAACGGACCAGATCAACGGACAACAAGCAACAATTGGACGGAATCAACCAAAAAGCTGACCAAGCGAAAGCTTTCAACAAGTGCCGAGAAACCGTCTCTACAAAACGTGCAAAAATCAAAATCGACCAACTTACGAACGTCGGGGAGATTCAAATTGCCTGGAACAACGATTGAAGTAGCAAATTGCTGACAAGCCGACATAATGAAGAACATTATGAGAAGACAATGACTCAATTGAAAATTCAGTTGAACTACCGGTAACGGACTCTGGAAACGTTTTAAAATCATGAATATGGACTGTATTGAACATCGATCGAAATGAACTCTTTTAGAACATGATATATGTTCGAGGTGAAAAAACTAATCAAAAACGAACTGTTGAAAACAATGAACTATATGGACTGTTTACGGTAAATTACGCGCTCTATTCCAAACAATAGAAATATTTTTCGCGCATACCTAATGGATATACAGTTCAGGAGCATGTTAAATCTACAATTTGTTTCATGATTTGCAGGTTTTTCTCCTCATTGAGACAGACATTTTTCATTCTTCCACTAATACTAAGGTAAAGTACTTCTTTTTCTTCTTATGTATATACATGGCGTTTCATTCGACTTTCAATTTTTTATAAATTACAATTAATGTAAAACTTTGAATATTCTAATTTCAAATACCTTTCAAGAGATTATATTATTGAATATTTGTGGTTAGAATTCCTTTTCGATTAAATAGGATTTCGTTAGAATTAAAATGCTTTCTAAAGTAGATTCGAGCGAGTCATACTTTTTAATTATTTACAAAGCCGTCATATAGAACGGTTGAAAATAATAAGCTCGTTAAACAAAATTGTATCAAAAGCGTTATTTTTCCAAAAGCCCTGAGATGGCATAAACTTAAAAATGCGTTTTCATCCCGACATGGGACAAATATATAGACCAACTAGGTCGCAACGCGTTTTTTCTTCCCGACATGGACAAGCATATATTGACCAACTAGGTCTACAAAATCGTAACAATGCCGATAAAGCGAGTATAGCATTTTAGCGTAGCGAAAATACATTGATGAAATATGTTTTAACCGTTCAAACCAAAATTTTTAAAATAAAAATACGCCATCCTTCTGTAATTCTACTTTACAATCTTTACTCTTTCTATAAACTCTTCTTTATTTCAATGTCGTGTCTCATTATAGATCATATACATTTAAATATTTTTTTTGACCTATATAATTAATTTTAGCATTGTGTATTGTATTTTTCTATATATTTCAATTTATTAGAGGTGCCAAATCTTTAAACTTCCAGTTAGTAAGATGGGGAGATAATATAGCACTAACCCCAAATGTACCCCATTTCATAGTTAAATATGAAACACAGCTTTAATTTTTCCCAAAATCTCGAACAACAGACTTTCGTAGGAATCAAATTACTACACAGTGTTAAGAAATACAGGTTCCATCCAGTCATTATCAAATTAAAATCCTATATTCTCAAGACCTTAGGCACTGATTGAAATAATTTATAGTCTAAGTTCCCATCCGTAACGATGTAACATAATTACCCTTGTTGAGGATAATAAGGAATTTCTGGTTATAACGTGAATGCACGAGCTCACGTTTACAGGCATTTTAATTGGATTTATGAATCAACGTATTAAATACGACTCGATATCTTTCGAGAGGAGAAGACGCATGTAAACCATTAAGCTAGTCGTGGATAAATGTTATAAGATTTGTATTCTGTGTGTTGTGGAAATTTACGAATAAAAACATATAGAGATTTTTAACGCATCTTCATTCACGTGGGCGTTGAAGCTGAAGGGTGAACGGGTGACTTGCAAGTCAGAGACAATCTACGAAATAGCAATATACGGTAACATCACATACATCTAACAACCATTTGTGCTATACCCCCGTTGAAAACGGCCTGGTTGCGCCACTGGATGGAGCATCATAAAATCTTCGATATTATGCATTATTCCAACTTGTAGTCTTTGAATCAGAGATTCCAGACGATTTTAATTGTCAAGTTACAACCAAATGTAACAACCTAAGCTTTGATTTGCAAAATTACTTATGTGTGATTCAGCTATATTTTCAATGTTTATTTTTTTTCATATATAGATTTAAGAAGTGCTGAAGTGGATTGTGTAACATTGGGTCAGTATATGCAACCAACGAAAAGACATGTAAAAGTAAGAATTCTTTTACTGCTATATTATTAGATGAAGTTGGCCTTGTTATTGGGCACAGAGTGGTTCCATGTATGCTTAGTGTTAATAATACTAACAATCGTTTTCTCTCATAAAAATTGTCTCTGTGATCCATGATTTTACTGGTTTTGATGAAAATTGTACTCCGTGCACATTTTTACTGCTTAACCTAAATTTTGATAAATAAAAAGCATCACATGCCGTTGAATATTGACAGCTCCATATGCCTTTACTTAGATTATCCTATATTCAGAAACTATTCTTACAAAACCACAATATTAATTCGTTATATGGTAATGTAAATTCATCATATTTTAGGTGAAAGAATATGTCACTTCCAGAGAAGTTCAAACACTGGGAAGATGTTGGGAAGGATTTAGGATTCTTATATACTGCCAAGTGGTCCACTCGTTCGTTCTTCATATAAAGCTGGGGAATTTTTTATCAAAAATCTTTTGGATAAACGGAAGACATCTGCACTATAATATAACTTCTTGCATTTCGAGATGTTTGTTGCCTACTTGTCACAAATGCTGTCCATTATCAATTCAAAAATAGTACTACTGAAGTAACCATTCAATTGGTAGCAGTAATGTGCTTTGTGGAAAATTCTGAGTAAACCCTGTTCCTTGCAAGCCTTTATGCATGTTAATATAATACTCTATTCTACTATACACATGTTGCGTTATTTATTGTATAAATATATTTAGCCAAATAAACGACTAAATAACTGAGCTGGTTGATGTATATATATAAGATGGGAAGTGGGTACTCCCTAAGTATGTGAACCAAGATGGTGGACACCGGGACGTAGTATGTTTACCAGATTAGGGTTAGGCCATAATTTCCAGTACAAATACTACGGAAGTTACTTGGCTAGTTCCCGAACTCGTAATAGACCTGAAATAAGGAAAATTGGAATAAAATTATGGCCCAGCCTGGTACACATACTTCGGGAGTATCGGGAAGTGTATCCCTAATTCAGTGCAGATGGAGACAATAAGAGGTAGATGGTGGAGGTATTTGGGAATGGGTTCTGTGTAGAAATTTTACCCATTCCCACAATCTAATCACATGCTTACCACCGATTATGAAACATTGCATAGATTCTCAGTCCAGGTTTAACTATGTTCTGAATGTTTCAGATTTTTTCTGTAGGTACTTGTATCACATGTGTATGTGAAAACAAATCTGCTTACTGCTCTATCACTGCAAGCCTTCAGATATTTTTTTGCCTATAACTAGCCATATCTTAATTTCTAACCAATCTCTGTTTACATGACCATCCCCATCATAATTGACAAACAAAGCTTTTTAGAAAGAAGTCTAAATATAACCCAAACTTGGACAAAGGTTGAACAAAATTTTGTGCTGAGAAGTTGGCATCGTACTTACCGGTAAATCACAACGAGAATGTAATCATGTAATAAGTTGATACTGTTATTGACCCACACCCCGTTACAGCTAATACAAGAAAAAATTGTCTTACGTAGGCTGTATTTCGTCAGTCGATTCTGGAAACTGTACAATGTGAGAAGTATGTGACGCACACAAAATATACTGATTTACTTATGCCTCAAAAAAAAAAATTGAAAAAGTAAGCCAAATCGCCTGGTAACATATCAAGTTAAACAAGCTTTAATAGAACTCCACACGAATACAAATATCGAATAAATTATTGTGAGTGATTTATCCAAATGATATTTAAGAAATGCATATACAAGAATATTCTTTGTTTGTATTTTGCACTCAGCAACTGTTTTTCAGAGAATGTCCTGTATTTATTTCATATCAACTCTGATATTTAAAATAAAGTTATCCTGAGAGGGTCAAAAACTAAGATATTTGATATGAAGGTATATCAAAAAATTATCTGCTGGATGAATGGAAGTTAATCATATTTTAATCATTTATGAGCTTAAAATAAACGCAGCTTGGAAACTAGCTTGGTTAATTTATTTCTCTATACTGTTACTGTGGTATTAATAAAAAGGCAGCAATTATTACTACACCAACTTTGACTAAATACGTTGCGTAACAATATTCTGTTCAATATGCCAAAATATAATAATTACCAGGCTATGAGAATCAATAATGCCTGAACATATCATTATAGAATAGATCAAGAAAATAGTAAAAAAAATAAGCAAAAACATCAAAATTTATTAGTGGTGGATACAGTTAGCAACACTACTACATCACATCACAAAAATGTGCAGTGGTGAACAACTATTAGCCATCTCAAATCTTCAGGTCTGAAAAAAGATCAGGAGCGGTCTAGGCCTAAGTAAGGCATACTAAACACAGCATACATACACCTAACTACAGTACTTCCAAATCTTTATAAAGATATAAAAATCACAAACTTGGACAATTTCAATACAGCCAAAGTGAGCATCTTGTGAATTATGCTCATTTTAAATCTCAAGTAAAATTAATATTGATGTAGATGTAATCTGACATGAATTTGACTTTCCAAGATTATTTATTATGACTCACTTCAGTGTATAGAATTGTAAATATGAAGACTATAATGCTTGGAATGGTGTAGGATATATTATGCAAAATTTTGATGTGACGGGGACCATGAGTTTGAAGAAGGTATTTATTGAGGTCTACTATTACTATTAGAATAAACAATGTTGAATGCAGACTAGGAAAAGCTGGTTGAACCAACAGCAGAATATTGAAAAATTCCCAAAAGGTTGAACCAGTGGGTTGTACATGCGGCCACAAGCACCTCCTTTGTCTTTGTACGTCTTTCAACGGTTCAACACGTAATATTCCTTTAAACCCAGGGCTGTAATTTTGCAAGCCGAAGGCTGTAAACCAGTACTTTTATGAACCTACAGTAGGTCCCAAAGAAGCATCATCAATTACAAATTGAAAAGATATATTTACGCTTGAGATTGAACCAAGGTCAACGCATAAGGATTACTTTGATTATTGCCGCTTTAACTGTAAACATTTTTTTGATACTCAAAATTTTTATTAAATAAACGTTAGGTTGGTCCCAAGATTTTCTTTGACACTTTTTTGAAAGGTTGAGAACCATTACTGTAGATGGCGAGAACTTTTTAGGACTAACATGCATGAATCAAATATCGCAATTATAGTGGTTGATTACATTTTACCGCACATACAAAAGACCTCCATTAACATTCGAGGATATGCCCAGATGCTAACTAATGTGCCCACCACTGACACTGTGAAGATACAAAGCAAGACTTTTTGACGACTGTTATTCATGGATTGTCACATTTGGGCAGAATTTTATAAAGCAAAAGCACATCTATACCTACTGCACGTATATGTACCATAAACATAATATCAAAAAACAAAATCATTAATTGAAAAAGCTGATTATTTCAGTATATATATATATGTTACTTATGTATATATATACTGTATATACAAAAAATTGCTAGCTATACAGAAAATTGAAAACAAAAAATTCCAACTACTATTATCGTGAATACAAAGTAATGAAAAACATCCTTTAGCATTATATTTATTACTAAAATGGAATGTATAGGTTGGGTTGGGTCCAGGGATGTCCAAAACAAATCAGATGTTCAAGGTTGGTTGTATTCCATATAACATATTCTTCTGGAAATAAAGCAAGAATTGAGAACATTGAAAAAATCCTTGAAATGCCATTTAAGCATGCAAGACATGGGTGGATTAAAAAGGCTTGAAGTAACGCTCGATATTTGTATGTAATAGAAAATAACTCGTAATCAGTCCAATTTTTTTTTTAAATACTCGTATATATCTTAAATGTACATTTCTGCATGAATCCTCCTATTGAATATGAGCCAATTGAGAGAACATATTCCACCTATTTTATGTTTTTTTTAAAATTTTTTTCATTTTCAGGAAGATGAATTATTCAGTTTTGGCCATCCCTGGTACTTGGGCCACTTCTAGACAAAATAAAGTTGACTCCACAAAATCATAAACCAGTGAGCGAGATCGGTATTTGCTGTACTTTCTAACGAGTTTATGACCGTTACTTGAATACTTTCAAGCCAATATTTTTAAAAATATCGATTTGTTTTTTATTGTACTATTAACTGGTCGAAATCAAATTGTTTTAGCTTACTACTTTATTAAAATATAGGCTGTTAAAAAAGCTATTCATTAACTCACACTTGAATGCATATAAGACAAATATTTTGGGGATTGGTTAGGTAATCACCTAGTGTCAATAATGAGATGAGGTACCAGCATGTTTTGAAAGTCAACAATATAAGCACCAAATTGTGTGAGGAAACAATTTGATAGTTTATTAGATTTTAATATGATGAAACTATATTTGAATATAGCAGGGGTATGTGAACTGACAAAAAAAGTGAAATTTTCCTCATGCTTATGCTGAGTCTGATGTAGTTTGTTACTACATTAAAATGCTTTCATTCTCATTACTGAAATGAAAACTTATGAACGGCTTTAGATGATCCGAAATTTAGAACACCAATTTTGGCCGATCCGGCTAGCAAAAATTATTTTAGCAACAAAAAATTTAAAAAAGCATACACCGGTAATAAGATTATGTTGAATTTCATTAGACAGTGCAAAAGTTGAAACTGTATCAAGATTTTGACATACATAAAATTAATATCAGGAACTCGATGGAAACAAAAACATAATTTCATGCAGAAAACTATGATAAAGACATAATATTTAAACAAACTTGACAACAATGATTACATTTTTTGGTTGGAACTTATAAAGGTTCACTCTTGAGTCAAATCAAAGAAATTCTTGGTTATCTTTGACTATGCATATTCACAATGCTATGACAAAAATTGAACAATTGAATTCATCGAAAAAAGTAGTTGTAGCATTGTGATGTCAAAATATAAAATACAACTTCTAACAAGAAAAAAAAGGAGAATATATAGCGATGTTAAACAACAAGAGTTGGTAAGGAAGAGCATGGATTCTGTCGAGTAAACGGCAGTGCAGTGCTCGAATCAAACATATGATACCAGATCAGAAGAATTGATGCTGAAAAGTAAATTTTAAATTTCTATAAAAAAAGTACAAATACAACTCGATTTAAAGAAAATAATGATTCATCGTTTTAGAAAATGTGGTAGCACTTGAATTAAAATTGATGTCAGTGCACAATCAAACTGTAGTGTAGGGAACATGGATTTCTAGCTACTTCTGTAGTCTGTGTACCAGGTTAGGGTTAGGCCATAATTTTATGCCGATTTTCCTTTTTTTAGTTATATTACGAGTTCGGGGACTGTCTGTCTGCCCTTCCCATAGGTTTCAGTCCCTTCACACAACTTGATGTAAAGTAGGCGAACAAAATTATCCACCTCCATATCGGTACACACACTTCTGCAGCGCCGATTCTTATTATTATATTTAATGTAGTCTAATTTGGAATTCCATGATTACAATCTTGAATTAACACAAGTTTCACACTTGAATTTTGAAATATAGTTCAACTATTAAAATTGTAATAATCACATTAAAACTCAAACATAAAATATTTATTTAAATTTTAGTAGATTAAAAAAAGACTTGAAATTAACTAGACAGTCAGTCAATGTTATCGTTATTCGAGTACGAGCTACAAAAACTAGGATTTCATACCTCCAAATCATGTAATTAATTCTTAGTCATCAGTAGGATGGGGCCCTTCAAATTTGGCTGGGTCAGTCTCCTGCAAATAAAAAATATTATTTTTCTTTAGTATGCGAGATTTTTATAAAAACATACCGATACATTATTTTTTAGTAAATAGGCTGAGGATAACAAGAAAAAAATATAAGCAGAGAATAAGCAATCCAATAATCCATGAGTTGCATAAACACATTTTTATACCAACAATTTGTAAAATGATTCAATGGTCGAGCCTAAAAACCGTTCACATTTGATGCGCATAGGATTTTTTATACCAAATGATACCAAACTTTCGAATTAAGTTAACCACTAAATCTGGGGATGGAGATCCAGCTTCACCTTTTTAATATTAAAAATATTTTATTCGTTATTTGGTACCTAATTGAAAGGGAGTAAAAAGTTGCAGGTTTAAGTTTGATTCATTATTACTATCTTTAGTGAGACTGGACACCAGCACAATCCTTTTTGCATAGAGCCCACGATAGTTGGCCCTGAGTGTGTGTTAATTAAATGATCATACCTTGAATATCATCTCCTTCAATTTCTCTTTCGGCAAGTCATCCAATTCCTCTGCGAAAGTAAAGGGTTTTTCTGCCTCTGGTTCATCCTCTGGGTCATAATATTGTTCAAGGTAGGGATGACCAAGTGCGTCTTCCACGCTGATTCGTTTATTTGGATTGAATGTCAACATCTTATCAAGAAGACAAAGGGCTGCAAAATGTAAAGTGTAGAAAAAGAAGAATATTTCGGAAGCATTTTAAAGAATTATCCTTTTGTGAGCTGTTATATCGCTAATACGACTATACTGTATGATAATTGTTGAAAATAGGCAAACCCAAATACCTTTTTATAAAATGAACATCGTTTTGCTAAATTATTGTTGGGGAAGAAATTGCTATTTTCGAAATAATGATACGGACATTTTTCAAATTTTCAGTACTTGGTTGAAGCCATGGACAACATATCGACTCTTTTTGGATTTCTTCCAATCCTATGGAATCAAAATTTCAGCACAAATTTTGCTGTTTATTTTAATTAGAAGGAATACTTTTTATTTTATCGTGAATCTCGATTGTACATCTATCATTTCGGCAAAGCAAACTTGGTGCTTTATGGCCATACCATATAATAATTTACTGCAGTGATAAGACAGTCAATTTCGGATTGGAGGTTTTGAATGACCAAATAACATAATTTAGTATATGTCGCATAGGTTACCAGTACTGAAGTTAGTCATTGAACCTTCATGTCCATATTTAAGAAACAAGCACAAAATCATCATCAAAATAGGACGAAGAATAACACAATGCCACTTTTAACGCAATTCGAAATCAATTGAATGTAGAAAACAATGCTTATTAAATAAAATTAGTGGTGCTCCCGAAGTATGCGAACCAAGATGGCGGACATCGGAACGTAACATAGGTAACAGGTTAGGGTTAGGCGATAATTTTTTTCCAATTTTCCTTATTTTAGTCCTATCATCAGTTCGAAGACTAGCCAAGAGCCTCCCGTAGTATTTATACTTAAAATTATGGCCCAACCCTAATCTAGTACACATATTACATTCCGATGTCCGCCATCTTTGTTCGCATACTTCGGGAGCCCCAAATTAGGAATGCGTGTGAGGCATATTCCCTACTAAATCTATATTGTTTATTTTCACTACACTATTTAGCCAAAAGATTGAAGAATAATAAAGTTCCAGACCCACTTCTAATATATACTCCCTTCCTATCTATTTAAATATTCAATACGAAGCGATAAACTGAAACTAATATAATTTCAAAAACACCATTTGAATTTTCTGTATATTTCTATAAATTCAAAACTTGTACATCAAAAGAATTTTATTAATAAAATACTTATTTACAAACTCAAAGGGCAATCAGCCAATCAGAGTTATTTAATATTATAGGATGCAATAACCCATTTGCTAGCCTGTTAGACTTATTTAGTACCGCAGGGTAAAGATGAGGTGAGTTGTATCCCTATCCGATTATTCCACTCGGTATTATTGAAAGTAAAAAAACTTACTAATAAGATCAAAATATATTGCAATACGAATACCAGGGACAATGATTTATCATACAAATGCTTTTAATATTATAGGTATAAGCAGAGATTGGGTTCTTTATAATTCATGGACTGTGTCTCATTGGTAATATAATAAGAATGAGAAAATAATCTGTGATAACTATTCCTATTTTTAACATTCCTTATTTGTATCATGCTATATAATGTCTGCATACACTATACGCATAATGGAAAACTTTTACTATATAACTTTTCTTTCTCATTCATATCACTTTAGTGAATAAAGTAGTCTTATTTGAGCTTGAAACAAGAGAGCAAAAATATACACACAGAGGTCAAATGACTACAGCAGTGTCCGCAAAATTTAACGCAAAGGTTGATAGAATTGTATCAAATGTCATATGAAGGTGTTTCCGTAAATTAAAAAAAAACAGCAAAATTTGTGGTGAAATCAGAGAAATTTCAAAAATTGAATGAAAATAGACAACTGGCAACTTGATCATGAGAAGAATGAAATAATCTCCACGAAATAGCAAGTATACTTGTGAGCTTTTGTTATCTGACTTCTTCAGACAAAACAAGATAGCCCTTATTTGCTGTTTCAGCCCGTTTGATAAATTAACTTCTTAAACCAGACAAGATGTAACTTAATCAAACAACGAAGACGCCAATCAAATAACAAATATGCCGCTAATCACTGTTTTATTAACTTATATTTCGTTTGGCCCGAGGAACTCAGACTTTATTCCAACAAAAGCTCACAAATATACTTGCAATTTCGTGGAAAGAAATTAAGTCATTTTTTTCACCACTTTAATACTATCTCGTTCAAACATCCTTGTTTTAACTGCCCCATACGAATCTTAAGCAGCAAGTTGACAAGAGGAAGAAACCTGCAGTTCAACACACAGTACCCCAGAGCCCAGTACCCCCCGACACCTTCAAATACTAATAATTTGAAATTCAAAAATGGCAATAATGCATAAACCCTTTTTTTAACAACAATTTGTAAAATTATTCAAAGGTTAAGTCTAAAAACCGTTCACATTTGATGCGCAGAGGGTTTTTAATACCAAATGATACCAACCTTTGGCATCTTTCTTAGGAAAGAGTTTTTGCCAAGGAATCTTCGGTTTGTGTGGCAACGAGAGGAGATAAGCACGAGCTTTATCATTGATGATGCATTTGAGATCCTCTTGTGAAGGTGATCCAAGAATACCTGTTAATAATGAACATAAATAATCAGAGATTGATTGCTACAGAAACTAAATAACGAACCATATAAAAAAAAATATCAGTTGTTGTAATAGCTTATTTTGTGTCGTGTATTGAATTCTTACTCTAATATTATCTAATGTAGTAACCAGGGCCATGGTGCTAGAGCTGTAGTCACCGGGAATCAGCTCAGGGGCACTACTGAGCTAGACTGTTTGATATAAACTTAAAATAAAGAAAATAAAGAAAACAAAAAATAACATATATCCCTGCATAGAAGTCGACCCCCTAAGGCCTAAACAGTGAAATTATAAAAATGCGCACATAAGCCGACCCTGCAAATCGAAATAAAATGATAACCATCATTGTTGTTTTACTTTTATGATTAACGGTAAGAAAGTCTCAAATTCATTTGACCAATCACAGACTGTTATTGCTGTCATAGCGTAAACATGCAAGCGATCATGTGTATGACAACCAATCACAAACTGTTATTGCCGGCTGCCGCCATGGCATAAACATGCAAGTGATCACTTGTATGACAAAAAATCACAGAATGTTATCGCTGTCACAGCGTACCAAGTTTTAAACTCGGCTTATAGGCTATGCGAAGATATACGGTGTTATATTTTTGCAGGAACAACCTTTCTAATTTTCGAGTGATAAACGACAGATCAGTTTAAACAACTTACCCAATATGTGATTGAGCTGATCAAGGTAGTGTTTTCCAGGAAACAGTGGACGGTTGGAGAGCATTTCAGCAAGGATACAACCTACAGACCAGATGTCAATAGACTTGGTGTAGCCTTTTGAATTGAGCATAATTTCTGGGGCACGGTACCATCTAGTTGCAACATACTCAGTGAGGAATCCAGTATGATCATGTACCGGATCTGCTACACGTGCAAGTCCAAAATCACAGATCTGTTTTTATAAAGGAGGCAAACAGAAGCTTCGTTAATTATGCATTGAGTGTAGAAAACCAAAATAGAAAAAAAATCAATAAACGAGCCCAGAGATTTGAACCCTATCAAGCATAAATGGCATCAGAGAGGCATGATGCATCTAAGGTCCAAATAAACACCAGTATCTCTGTATTTTTATATTATGTGTTTCTAAGTGAAAAGGATGAAAAGTGTGCCCAAGTAAGGCTGCTGCAATCAATAAAACTTGCCTGGTGGGAATGAAATCCCTCTTTGCAGCCAATTCCATATCAACAGGTGATATTACAAACTGATTGAATTTACTAGGGTCATAAATCCTAAATAACATCAAAACGATTTGAAATGATATTCAAGTTTTATTTTGTCATTCAAAAACACAGAAAATTATTTGTTTCAGGTGATGCAATGTAATAAAAGAGCACAAAATTAACAAGAGATTTTTTGTATATCAAAAGCTTTCAGATTATAAACATTGACAGGTTCAACAACATTATTTGTATGTTTTTATCTATGACTAATAGTCGGATGAAATGCACTGTGTGAATACGTCACCTAACTTGCCACCTGCCTCTACCCGCAAGGAATTTATATTTTGTTGAATACAAAAAATTCTATTAGCTATCAACTGTTTATAAATGCCTGAAGCTGGATCCAGGTAATGCCGAAATTCTCATCACAATGCGCTATATAAGTTTTACAAATTACACATCTCAGATGTTTTTTAGATAGCTCTACACCTTTTTCTGTAGAGAAGGCTCGAGACAAGCAACCATTGCTTTACTTATCGATCTTAAGATCGGTAAGTATGTTGATAGGTATTTGTCTGTCTGTGTGTTAGATGCACGCGATATCTCACAAAAGCGAGGTTGAATCTGCTCCAAATTTTGCATGTGCATTCATCATAAGCCTAACGGTGTCACTATGGAGTAAGACCACTGTTTTGGGGTATCCCCTAACCTTGAATCGATAAGTCTTCGGTTTCTAACCGATATTCTAGTTAATAAATTACTAGTTTTTGAAAGTATCGGAATCTTTCCGATTTGGCATTACCTACTCAATTTATTACACTCTAGGTGAAGTGGTGGGCATTGAATTTGAACCAGCAATTTTAACATAGTAAAGTCGTTCACTTTACCCACAAGGCCATCACACCCATGGTTATAGTTTAAATAGTTTGAAAAAAGGGGCATATTTGACATAATTGATTATTATTTGAAAAAAACCTGAGGTGGATTTATTTAATTATGATATAATAATATAGTAGCATGATTTCATTCATATTTTTGCATTTTTAAAAATGTTGACCATCCACACTCTTATTTAGTACCTTATTAGTTAAGTGTACTACCACCAAGCCTATGTTGACATCCTGTCAAATAGGAAGGTGATCACACATCATGAATTCATATATTTTGCTTCACTATCATCGCTATAAAATACATGACTCACATCATGCTTTCATGAAACTGCAATAAATCAATATATACCACGTAATAATCACCTTCAAATCGCAAGTGGTGTTTAGCAACAAATTGCTCGGCTTCAAATCACGGTGAATCACATGAGCTGAATGAATGTATTTCAATCCTCTCAAGATTTGGTACAAGAAGTAACAAATGTGATCGTTGCTCAAATGCTGAGTTTTTAGCAGTTTGTAAAGATCGGTTTCCATCAAATCTTGCACTATGTGTCTAAATTGAGTTATAGATAATATGATGTATTATAAGGAGGTAAAAATTTAGAAGGGTCATTTCAAATTAAAGATTAAGAGCAACACTAAGAACAAAAATGATGAATTCTAAATGTCGAGTATATAAAAATTTGTGGTAAATAGTGTTTTTATAGCGTAAATTTAAAAACTTCAATTAGAGTTTTACACCAATTTATTGAAATCAACTAACAGATTAAAATATCTGATTTTCATTTTTTTGTGGGACATACAGTATTACAAATTTCGTTATCAACTTTATGATGAAAGAGATGTTGACTAAAAACTTTTTTTATTGAATTATGGATATTCACATTTAGCGTTGAATTTTTTGATGAACAAAATAGAAAAATTTGAAGATTCAAATTCTGGCTTTATATAACAGAAAAAATTTTGAAGTGCACATCACTCAACAGTCAATATCTTACTGAAAATCGGGATTCAGTGGCTACTTATTTTCTCGTGTTGAGGAATATGACCTAGCCCAATGTTAATAAGTACTGGAAAATGTATGTGAAATCGATGAAGTTTGAACTATAACTAAATAAATCTACTTACACATCTTTCATGTTTGCGATATTGGCAGACCGAATGATGTCTTTGATCGTAATAATATTTTCATGGTTGAAACTGAGCAATATCTTGATTTCTCTGTAAGTACGCTGGCAGTAAGTTTGATGCTCGAATGGACTAATTTTCTTGATAGCCACTTTTGTTCCTTTGAATGTGTCCATTGCAGACCTAAACCATAGTTCGAGTTTATAACAAGTGCAAATATTTTGGTCATGTGACAGTTGACGTATGTCACCTGAGCTCAAGAATATAATTTTTTTCGTGGAATAAATTTATTTAATAATTTATTCCCTCTACCAGTTCTTCATGCAATGACTTTTTATCGAATAAAGTTTTCAAATACCATAATTTCCAAGTCCAATTTATCAAGATTTTCAATTTCGTTTGATCTGAATTGTATGAATATGGCTATACTACCCAAAAATAAAACACATTTTTGAATAATCTGTAAGAAAAATATACAATATTCTTTTTGATTGCATTTTCCTCAAAATAAGTTACCATTAAGTAATATGCAACTATTTATAATACAGTTGAACACTCTCTTGAAAATGACAGTACACTTGTAAAAATTACATGTGAAACTTTTATGTTAGATTCAAAACCAAGTACTCTGTCCATAAAAACAAAGAAACTTTATTTCAATATGACCAGCAGTTAGGGGTAGATCATGATAATATTGAATTTTATCAAGCATGTGACGACAATCTTATCCAGTGTATTCTTAGGCAAACAATTTCTTATTAGTTGAAAATGTCTAGTACATAATGTGTAAATATTTGACTTTCATAACTCTACCCTATGTTTGAAGAAACTGTATTATGACAAAGCTTTAGATATATATTCATCTTCTTTTTATTACTTCATTATATTACAGAATACAAGTGCATTTGAGAATTGATTGTAGTATCAATGAATTCAGGAAAATAGTTCCCATACAGGATTTAAAATGTTACATATTTATCATATTGACTATGGACAACAACAATATCAGGTACTAAGCTGCTAAACATATGATGAAAATGCTGAGGAAAAAATAATTCTCGGAATACTGATAAATCTTATTCAGGGTTAATCTTGCTCATAATCATGATCAATATTTTATACCCTTCTGAATTAGTAATATTAATAAAACTTTGATATGCACACTATATCCAACTAACGGATATTTTGAGATAACAATTCGAGATGACAAACTTATTATGAATTTCAAGTTTATTTTGAATTGAAGTTGAAATTTCAAGTACATCACCCTATGAATATCCAATACCGGGAAATAATTTAGTTTAAAATTTGCCCTATTGCAAATTTGCAATGTTATTGCGAGTCAATTATAGTATATGTATTGATCAATTAGGAATAATTAATATTAAAAAGTATCGCAGACAAGTATCCTACATTTGAAATATGAAAATTATATCTATCAGAAGAACATTATTACAAAATCCAACTTTACATTAACAGTAAATAAAAAACTCTAATGCTGACCTATTTGCCAGTGTAGCAATTCTGTATTGAAAATAAGATACTTACACAACCATTCCATAGGCTCCTTCTCCAATATATGACAAGTTTAAATATCTTGGTCCAACATCAAAAACTTGTCCCCTCACCACCTCAGCACAAGCCTTACGTTCCATGCTTTAAATTTACCTCAAACGATATAAACTATAATAGTGTGAATGTGAACTATAAATCAAGAAAGAAAGAGTTTTTGTTATATTTAATTTTTCTAATCAGAACCAAATTTTAATAAAATAAAAATAATATAACATGAAGTAATCTATGCAGAATAAATTTGACTAATCATTCAAACATAACTAATGAATTCTGAAGAGTTGACATCCTACTAAGAAGTCTGGGGTATATTGTTGACTAACGTAGAATCCTTGCACCTTGAGCTCAATTCCTGAAAAAACTTAATCTAAGTTATTGGAAAATATTACTAAAGAAGGTGATCAGAAATATTGGCGAGAGTACCATAAAAGCAGCCAAACAGGAAGTCGGTTACAATTTACATTCAGTCAAAAAAGTATTAATCATGATTCATGATACAGTTGTTCACTACACATTCACCAACAGCTTATAACCCTAAAAATCATCACTATTCAAAAATGTTCATGATAAAATAGCATAGCAGTATTAATATGAATCAAACAAACTGCTACAGTTTACTTCTATTCCATTACAACTAGTACTGAATATCATGCGAATTCTCGATTTTAGAATTGATTCAGATCGATTTGTATTTGAAAAGTCATCATTTAGAACAGTTCAATTCTCACTGTATCTCAGCTTTTTTTTACTTTCAAACTCAAACCAATTATTGAATATACATCGACAACAGTGAACTTCAACCACTGAAAATTTCAAAGCAATAGGTCTAGTAATTAAAAAGAAAAATCTTTCTAACAACAGCTTTATACCAAAATGCCGAATTTAAAATATATTTGGTATTCCACATTTGGGTATATTGTATTAAAATGTTCTTGAAATACAGTAGTAAATTATTGCATTTTGGCCATTTCTGGGTATTACCTATACCTTCCATTCTTAATGCTAAACCTAAGCAATGCCTCATATATTATATATAGATATCTTAAAGGCGATTGCAGAATTAAAAGAAACAATAACTACCATTTGCTATACATAGACACAATAATATTATTATATTATGATGATCAAAGATTTTGCATTATTAATGATGATCATAAAATGAAAAAAAAAGTATTCCATGCCAGATTTTAGAGTGCAGTAACCGCCAAATAGCTCGCTTGACAAAATTATGCACAAGCAAATTTCCCATTTACATTATATTTTTGTCTATATATTCTTTTGAGTGGCTATTTTTCAGTAATTAAAATTTGCTCACCCTTTGGCTTTAAATTTTGTACAATTTATCATATATAGCAGGGGTGGCCAACCTGCTTTCGACCGCGGTCGACTAAAATCTACAAAATAGCTCGCGATCGACTGATCAGTAACAAGGTTATACATAAAAACTAATGGGTACTGAATATACAAATGACTGCACTGCACAAACGCATACGAAAAATTCCAACGCCCCAATAAGGTCGGCTCTGTAGGCGCATTTTCAATAAAAATCGTTCCATGTTATTTGTTAATGTAATTGTACCAGGAGTAAATTTTCATCGCTTATTTGAGATTTATTGAGTAATACGATTCAGATCTACAGCATGCCTAATTTTCAGTCTTAAATGTTCCTCAAGAAATCTTGCCAAGTATCCATATTATCCAAACAGCGAAAAATAAATATTCTCAAACCATATATGTTACACAACTGCTTAAACTTCCGTTCTAATTTACAATTGCCCTCAAGTTTACAGTCTTCGCTCACTTGGAATTATAAAAAATTTGGCATTCTAATGCCACTGCTGTCGTTGTGAATACAATTTATCACACTACTCTTGGAGTGAGACAATAACTTTCGCATACTGCAGAAGTTATTGTAAGATCGTTTCTCAGTCAAGACATACGACATTCGGCACGTTCATTTCTAAACCTTGGCAGCGATTAAACTTTCATTTGTTACGAAATAATAAGCGCTATCAGGTTTGCCCAGACTCAAATACTGTATATCATATTTTGCGCATGTACAGTACTATATTCTTCCTTCGTAAAACTGGTTCAAGGCAAAATTTTGGGGTATGTTATTAAATTCACTCAACATCAGACATCAATTAGAACATAAAAGACATCAATTATAACAGTGAATGCAGACTCTTCCTTTACGAAACAGTCTTATAAACTAAGATGGAGCGCAATCTAAAAACGTTACCATGGGTTTACTTTGAAAAAAATAATCCCATTTACCGAAGAGAAAAATTTACCCTAGCATTCATTTTAGCAAAAAACCATCGGCAGGGGAGAATTTCGGTCATGTGATGGCTGACGCATGTTAAATCATTATTGAGAAAAGCATGGCGCAATCTGCAGAACTGCCTTTGTGCCAGCACTCTCGTTTCAGACACAAATAGAGTGTTTGTTTTATTGAACCAAATGTCGAGACATCTTGGAATCGGAGAACTGTGCCCAACTGACATTCGCATTGGGAGTTGATGATGGAAGAAGCCGTAAACAACCAGCAGCTATTAATACGCGAACCACCCTCCGGTGACAAGGAGTTCAGCCATTCTCTTGCACATAGTTAACCCCCACAGGATTCTGCGAACCCGCGCAGGGTAATCAGGGGCCACATCGCCGAGAATAAATCACAACTGTGGTCTTTTTTAAACAAATATATGTGAATAAATTTCTGTGTCTCCTTTACAATGCAAAGCAACTGGATATCAGTCATCAGTCACTCAAACCTGAAACCCAAGTGCAGTTTCAAGTATTTTGTGGCGTCTAAAGCTGCCGCAAAACCATGATTTCCAAACCATGGCCGCTATAGCCAAACCTATGGCAACTGACTTTTTAGCTGCCACAAACCAATGGCGAGCTGCCGTTACCGCGACAGCAAATTGAAAACCAAAGGCGGGTAAAATTTTTCTGCCATAAACAGGGCATGTCGGCTGTAATGGTAGGGCTGCCCCTAATGGTAATAAATATTGGTTAGGTCTGTAGGTTGGAACATTTTTTTTATAAATACAATTTGGATAGATTTGAGGTTAGATTTGAGGTTTAAATAGATATAATTCCGCATGATAAACTAAAATCTGGTACACGACTTTGTGAATATACCGGTATTACTGAATAGCGCCATGGCAAGAGACGCCACGATTCGTTCGTGGCGGAGCTGCCATGAAGTGGTAAGAACGGCGACTCCTGAAACCAGTAAACCTTACAATTAACAGATTAATGCCATCGAGTAGTTCAGTCTGTCAGTAGTTGGAAAGGCTAAGGCTGTGCGGGACGAAACAGCTTGTGTTGAAAAGTCTGTAAACCAAGCAGAAATGATCATGACAATACAATCATTGTATAAGAAAATAACTAAATAAAGCAATAATTAATAATGCAGTACTGTAATACAGTAATAAGGGAACACAGCAGGATAGGCTGACAGTGATAGATACCGTACTTTATTTCTTTATAAACAGGGTGAGAATAGCGGGATCAAGAAAGAAGATTGGCCAGAACTTACCATAGACTACTTGTACAACGTAGGTAACAGTACGGCACAGGACGAAACGTATCCGTACCGGTATATTTTAGACGCCTGGTCATATCAGCATATTGCTGTATTGTGCAGGGGTGTCAGTCTGCACTGCTGTACCGGTAGTGGAGCAGCGGCAGAGCGGAGAGAAACTGGTACGATTTCAGCATTTGCAATTTGCGTTCCTCAGCATTAGGAACATTATGTAGGCTACCGGCACATAACTTTTGTAACATTTCGCTGATTCATATTCCAAATGAACACAAAAGAAAGCCTTATAAACCAACAACACGGCGGGCGACTCAGCAGTCAACAGCCAAAATAACCTTCCGATGGATTCCGCGTGGTGGCGCCCTAATAGAATGATATTAGTTGGGTATATAGCAATGAAAAATGGTAAAATCCTGATACACAAAAGAAAGTGGCATTTATTTATATAATAGTCGATCAAGTGACTTTTTGCTATTTAATTACATATTATTGTTTTTCTTTCCTTAAATACATAAGATGTGATATGTTGCTGTTTTCTTATAACAAATTAGCTTTACATAATGAAAAGGATATTGGTGTGAAGTTGATTTGATGGCTAAGGTATAGAGAGAGTGATCCCATTTCGGGTGCTTTTTGCATGGTGTGATGAATTCTTCTGTGTCCCAAGCAAAATGTCCTCCCAGATAAGGGGTAACCAACCCGCGGCTCACGAGCCGCATATGGCTCTTGCTCCGGTTTCATGCGGCCCGTTTCGCCTTGGTTATTTTAAGGAAAAAATAACTTGCAAACTACGATCCATCATGTTCCGATTAAACACATTATGATTCATCGCGTATTCTTCTTTTACAGATGGATTCATTTGTATGTATGTCTTCATATTAACATTTGCTTTGGTTAACGAATCAATAATTGGACACGTATAGTGGACATATCGATCGTTTTGTTGATATGTTGTTCTTTGACACTTTTTGGACACCTAGTGGAAATATTAAAAAAACGCTTTTCTCTTTGATCATCGGACCAATTGCTTTGAAATTTTTAGTGGTTAAAGATGAAATTTTTCTCCAGAAGGCTATTACTTTTATTTATTTCAAATTTCTCTGTTAGCTCTGTAAGGTTTGTTTTTGTTTGCTATGACGTCACTGAACGTTCTGCGGACGCATATGCAGGCACTCCTCCGTTGGCGTGACAGCGGATTGCAAGTTTTTCGAGGTTACCGGTGAATGGCGGTAATGCTAACGGTACGATAGACCGTACTTCACTGCTTGGCTTGGCGTGGATATATTTGTAGACTGTGGTCTAAAGGTACGGTAAACTGTACCGGTACCGATACTGTACTGCTTCGCTCGGTGTGAATATATTTGTAGACTGTGACCGAAATGCTTCGCTTGGTGTGAATATATTTGTAGACTGTGGTATCTGCTGTTATAATACCGTGATAAATCGAATAAGTTGGTTTTGCAAAGAAGAAGCATCTGGCATTACAGGTAGGAGGGGGAACACGTACTGGTAAGTCACCGCATATGATTTTTGGGGAATTGTTCTGCGTGTCCATATATTTGAGTATTGCTCTCTTGTTATCATATATGTTGTTGTTGGTATTTTTTT